TCTGCCAGAATGGGGAGTGGGCTTATTGCCCCCCCCACACACACACACACAAAACAGGTGCCACAAAGGGCATCACCCTCGGAGAACAAGTGAACTGGGGAAAAACCTATCGAAAGCAGACAAGACATGTCATGATGAAGTATTTCCTTCAAATCAGTTGATGTGCTGACTGCAAATTGTACCCGGAGCTGGACAGGACAGATTAACAAGCTTCATTCACTTACCAGTAGTTTACAATGTTAGCCAAGCAGAACAGGCTCATTCTTGCTATCCAGACACAGAGTAGTCACCTTCAAAGAGAAAGTCCTTCTCCATCATGAATTAAAATTGAGCCCAAATCTCTTACAGTCCTCTACACATGTTCTTTCTCCACCTTTGACCATGTAGTTTTCTCCACTTAAATACCCTCCTCTCTTCCCACATTCTCCAGGCTCCCGTACCAAACTATGAAAGCACTGGGGATCCCAAACACCACCTCCATAAAGCTTTTCCAGATCCAGCCAGCTCGGATGGATTGCTATCTTCTCTGTACTCACTGAGCATTTAGTCTCGACCTCAGCTCTAACCCATCATATTCCACCTTGAATTATGGTCTTCACAGTGTATATCCAGTCTCCAGTTAGGTTAAGCTTCTGGAAGACAATAGCTGGACCTTGTCCACCTTTGTATCACTCAGCACCCAGAAAAGAATCAGTGCTCAATTAATGTCTGATGCAATTAATGTCTGCTAGACAACAGTGGAACAATGTCCACAATCTCTGAGGCAGAGAGGTTGAAACACAAGAATCTGAAACCCAGCCAGGTATCCTTCAGACTTAAAAGCCTACAGACTGGCATTTGCAAGCATGGAAGACTTCAGGGAATACAGGATTTGAACTGGGACACTTGGGGTCTATTTTATTATTCTTCAAACTCCTCAGTTCCAGCGACCATTATTTGTTGAAAACTGGAGGTTTCTGCGCATTTATAGACAAGAATTGGAAGACCATCTGAGAATTGATTCAGAGGAATGTGATCTTACAGGCTCTCTGCTTCTGTGGAATGTAGGACTTAGGAAGGACAGTACTCCCGTGTGCTTTGGTTCCACCATTTTCAGTTACTCAACTCTCACAAACTCATGCCAGTAATGAGTGGTTGCTTTGGCAAGTTGAAGAATTTTTGTGTCCCTACTGTTCTGTCTTCTTTCCATCCCTCACCCCTTCAACAGGGAACCCAGGGAAGCAGTTGTGGAACAGCAATAATGATAATAATAATAACAACCAAGGCTTCCATTGCATTTTCTTCAAGCCAGGCACAGTTCTGAGTGCTTTACTCATGAATGCTCTCTATAAGGTCAGCACTATTTTTTTTTTTTTTTATCCTCACCCGAGGACATTTTTCCATTTTCTGTACAGACAGAGTGGGAGGGAGAGAGAGGAAGAGAGAGAGAGGGAAACATCGATGTGAAAGGGACACATCGAGTGGCTGCCACCCACACGATCAACCAGGGCCGGGGACAAACTGCAACTGAGGTACATGCCCTTAGCGGGAACCGAACCCGGGTCTCTCCGGACTGCAGGCAGACGCTCTAACCGCTGAACCAAACCGGCCAGGGCAAAGTCAGCACTATTGATACCCCATTAGAGTTCAAGATACCAAGGCAGCCCTGGCTGGTTTGGCTCAGCGGTTGGAGCGTCGGCCTGCGGTACAGAGAGACCCGGGTTGGGTTCCCGCTAAGGGCACGTACCTCGGTTGCAGTTTGTCCCCGGCCCTGGTTGGTCGTGCGGGTGGCAGCCACTCGATGTGTCCCTTCACGTCGATGTTTCTCTCTCTCTCTCTTCCTCTCTCTCCCTCCCGCTCTATCTGAACAAAAAATGGAAAAATGTCCTCGGGTGAGGATTAAAAAAAAAAGATACCAAGGCAGCTTAACCAAAGTTACACAGCTAGCAGGCAGTAGAGCCAGGACTCCGGCCCTGAAGTTAGAAATGGGCTTGGATCTCAGCTTGTTAATTTGCTAATTCTGAGATCCTCTACAAGTTACTCAATGCTGAGCCTTTATTTCCTCATTTGTAAAAAGGAGATAATAATCTCCTCTTTGAGATCTACAGAGATTAAATGAGATAACATATCTGAAAGCCCCTATGTCTGATAGATGACTAAAGATAGCTAGTTTAAAAAGAGTAAAATAACCCGGGTTCGGTTCCCACTAAGGGCGCGTACCTCGGTTGCAGTTTGTCCCCGGCCCTGGTCGGTTGTGTGGGTGGCAGCCACTCGATGTGTTCCTTTCGCATCGATGTTTCTCTCTCTCTCTCTCTCTGTTCCTCTCTCTCCCTCCCACTCTACCTGAACAAAAAATGGAAAAATGTCCTCCGGTGAGGATTTAAAAAAAAAAAAGAGTAAAATAGCCCAGGCCGGTTTGGCTCAGCGGTTAGAGTGTCGGCCCACAGACCAATGAGTCCTGGGTTTGATTCCTGGTCAAGGGCATGTACCTTGGTTGAGGTTCATCCCTGGTCCTGGATGGGGATGTGCTGGAGGCAACCAGTGGATGTGTATCTTTCACATTGATGTGTATCTTTCACATTGATGTTTCTCCACCCTACCCCCCCTTTTCTATCTGAAGATAAATGGAAAAATATCCTCAGATGAGGATTAAAAAAAAAAAAAAAGAGTAAAATAGCCCAGCGGTGTGGCTCACTGCTTGAGTGTGAACCCATGCATCAAGAGGTCACTGATTCAATTCCCAGTCAGGGCACATGTCCAGGTTGTGGGCCCGATCCCCAGTGGGGAGCGTACAGGAGGCAGCCAATCAATGTTCTCTCACTGATGTTTCTGTCTCTCTTTCCCTCTCACTTCCTCTCTCTGAGAATCAATAAAGAAAAAAACATAAAAAATAAAAAAGATAATGAGGTTTCTCTGCAGAGATGGTTGAAATAAGAATGCTTCTGAAAAAAAAAAAAAAAAAGAGAGGTCGCTCATTCGATTCCTGGTCAGGGGTCAAATCCCCATTGCGGGGCATGCAGGAGGTGGCCAATAGATGTTCTCTCTCATCAATGTTTCTATCTCTCTCTCCCTCTCCCTTCCTCTCTCTCTCAAATCAATAAAGAAAAAAATTGCCCTGGCCAGTTTGGCTCAGCGGTTAGAGTGTCGGCCTGCGGTCCAGAGAGACCCAGGTTTGGTTCCCGCTAAGGGCACGTACCTTGGTTGCAGTTTGTCCCTGGCCCTGGTTGGGTCGTGTGGGTGGCAACCACTCAATGTGTCCCTTTCACATCGATGTTTCCCTCTCTCTCTCTTCCTCTCTCTCCCTCCCACTCTATCTGAACAAAAAATGGAAAAATGTCCTTGGGTGAGAATAAAAAATAAATTAAATAAAGAAAAAAATAAAGAGTAAAATAGCACATTAATAATATTAACATTGTAGCAATTAAGGCAGTGCCAAGGAGAATGTGTTTTCATGTTAGAAAAATGTCTCCCAAGTTCATTCTTTCATGTCATGTTATGAAGGTAGTTTGATTCCAATGTGAAAAAATTCTCCAGTGGGAGTTCACAAAACAAAACCACATTTGACACGTAACACGTAGAGACTGAGTGTTCTTCCCATCAAATGAGGCCCTTCCAGAATGTGGTATTTCTGCTGATCAGATTACTGTACACTGGAGTGTAATAAAAGATAGAACAGGCTGACACTGATTGGAAAAGAAAATGTAAAGATCACACTGAAGCCATCCCAAATGGGCTGATATATTTTAATCATTCTGTATTAGCTTGCTGCATCTTAAAATATTTTGTTTTCAAGTCAAGTCACAGCTGTGTATACTTTAGGCTGTGGCCGTCATAAACAAATATGAAAAGAAGCAGAGTTAAAACAGATGAATGCCAACGGTTATCCATTAGTCTAATATAATTGAACACAAATGACCATTAGGAGACTTGCAAAACAAATCTGAGAAATAGAACTTCAAATATGAGTTTCTGCATAACTGAATGACAGCTTTGCTGGGGCCTGTTGTCTAGTTGGGTCAAGGTATGTTTTGGGGGAGCCAGTCCTCCCCCTCCCAAGTGACTCTATTGATAAGTATAGTGGAAGATTCCAGAGTACAGAGAGCCAGATTTCTGTGAAATATATTCAAAGATTGTAAAGTAAGTGCCCACCTCTTCTAAAGAATTGAAGATGTATTACCATGGAAACTCCACCACCATCACGACCACCATCAACTGGTTTTATTTTTTGGGCAGAGAAAAGATTACCACATTTACTGTCTCCTCTCCTCCCTGCTCCCTCCTTTTCCAATTCCTCATCTCTAAGCACCTGGAATTCTTCCCATGTTTGCATCTAAAAACTAGTTTAGTGTCTTAAATATCGGTTCCATAAGTGAAAATTTGGTAAAATGCATTCACCTAATGTAAGGGATGCCATATGTAAGCACTTGGTATTAGAACTGGAGAGAGACACATTTCAGAAATCCACTGTGGGGTACAACTGCATTCACTGAGACGTGAGCAGTGAGTGGTCTGCACCGTGGAGGTGGTGTGGAGACTGAGACGTGAGCAGTGAGTGGTCTCCACCGTGGAGGTGGTGTGGAGACTGAGACGTGAGCAGTGAGTGGTCTCCACCGTGGAGGTGGTGTGGAGACTGAGATGTGAGCAGTGAGTGGTCTCCACCGTGGAGGTGGTGTGGAGACTGAGATGTGAGCAGTGAAGTGGTCTCCACCGTGGAGGTGGTGTGGAGACTGAGACATGAGCAGTGAAGTGGTCTCCACCGTGGAGGTGGTGTGGAGACTGAGATGTGAGCAGTGAAGTGGTCTCCACCGTGGAGGTGGTGTGGAGCTGCACATTCTTTAACACTCAGCTCACTGGCTGCATCATTTTTTGATTATAACAATTGTTTGCTTAGATGAGAAACATCTGAGCTAGTAATTCAACAGGGGACGCGGGTCAAGAGGTAAAAGCCATCTGGGTTGGGGGAAAGCCAAGCCTTGAGGGGCCCTCTTCTTGGTCACTTGGAACTGGGGGATCTGTCCAGATTAACTGTGGAGCTTTTCCAGAACAGCACGAACTTCCTCTGGATGATAGTTCCAAGGGCCAGGCTTACCCTGCAAGAGAAATAAATCAGCATTCCCAGATTTCTGACTTTCAGGAGATCCGGGATAGTGATATCCACGTGGGAGTCATCGGGATGGTGTGGTCCAATGCAGATGCAACCATGAGGTATTTGAGATTACCCAGGGAGAGGGTGTGAAGTGGCAACAACATTTAACAGGAAGAAAGGACAGAAGCAGGAGGAAAACCAGCGTGGGGTAAAGTGACTCATTTCAAAAGGAGAAATGGGTTTATACAAATACACTTTTCTTCCATAATTATACCTTCAGACTGGCCTTGTTTTCTCCACCCCTCACATCCAGTTCTCTTCATTCTACATCAGAATCACCTCTGCCTCTCTAGTCCCACTGCCTAGTTCAGCCGTCTTCCCCTCTTCCACCTCCCGACTTTGACTTTGCCCTGCTCTCTCCACTCCCTTCTTCACCCAATAGCCAGTGATCTTTCTAAAGTAAGGATCTGATCATGCATCACCCCTGCTCAAAATTCTTCAATGGCTCTCTTTTGCTCTAAAATGAAGGCCAAAGTCGTTGGCCCAGAATGAGATCCCTGTAACCCAAGTGCCCTTAATTCTCCATTCACACCCTGCCCTAACATGCCTCAGTGCCTTTGCCCACCCTCTTCTCAATTCTGCAATGGTTTTCACTTACCATGCTCACATGGCTGGCTCCTTATCCCTTAGCCAAGCAACTGTCACCTCCTCTGAAAAGCTTACTTGTCCCCAGGGGTTGGAAACTACCTGTCTGAGAGCTAAATCTGTCCTGATGCCTCCACGCCCTTTCATTTACATTTTGTCTATGCCAGTTTTGTGTTACACCAACGGAACAGAATTGTCATGACAGGGATTGTTGGGCCAAAAAAGTCGAAAGTATTTATTACCTGGCCCTTTACAGGAAAGGTTTGTTACCCCTCCTCTGGAGTCTCTCTGACACTCTGTCTGGGTCTTCCTTATCCCCTAGACTGTGAGCACCTCAAGTAAAGTGTGGGCCACTTTTAATTCATTTTTGTGTTTCCGGTGTTCACACAGGGCCTAACCCAGGGTAGGGACACAGTGCCCAGCTTGCCACCATCTTAGAATCATGTCTCAGGGGAGGAGAAAGGAAAAAGGACCTGAATCCTCCTGCTGTGACCCTTGGCACCTTGGGAATTCATTTACAAGTTGTTTCTTGTTTCACTTGCATACAGAGGGCCAGCTTGACCCGTGGGCAAGGAGTATCCACATGGCTGGGCTCCATGTGCTCTCCAAGGCTGGCAATCCCTACAGCAGCTATCAACTTACTTTCTGCCCTCTCAGAGGAGGCCAGCAGTGCCCAGGGGGGCAGAGACTGTCCCTCACTCTGGCCAGGCTGGAAGCCTTGAGAGAACACAATCCTTCCAGAAAGGAAGCCTGGACTCAATGCCTGTCCTGAATTTCTGCTTCAGCCTTTCCAGCTCTGAACTTCAGAGTTTGCTTTCTTCCAGCCTCCTTCAGCCCCTCCAGGTTCAGGCCTGCCTCAGAGATTCCCTGCTTCAGACCCTCCCACTGTTGACTCATTCCACCCAGAGGATTTAGAATTAAAATCAGCCTTGTGTAGAGTGACCTTGGGCAAGTCAATTCCCGTCTCTGAGCATTGTTTATAAAATGGAAACAACATTCTCTGTCTCAGCTTCAAACTAAACCAGGGCTGGGCCAGTCTTCTGGGTTCAGGAGGCTGCCAGGAGGCTCTAGCTCCAGTCTGAACGCTGGGTGCTTTCCTGTGCATTATTTCATCCCCTGAGACACGGGGGCCAATATCTCTATTTTGCAGAAGAGGAAACCAAAGCTCCAAGGAAAGAAAGGACTTGCTCATAGTCACATGGCTGGTCAATCGCTGGGCAGCAATTTGAATCCAGGTCTGCCTGATAGGAAGCCTCTCTGTGCCCTTTGCCCTCCCCGGGCCCCTGCCCCTGGGGTGGTCACTACCTTGTAGAGGATCCTGCCCTCCTGGAGCACATAAAGCCTGTCGGGTAGCGCCGCATAGAGCTGGCTGCTCTGGTTCTTCATTGTGTCCACCACCACAGGGCACTGGGGGCGCCTGTCCAGCAGCAGGTGGGCTGCCTGGAGGCGGTCCTGGAGGTTCTGGTGATTCCTGATGACCACGTTGTTCTTAAAAGCCCAGCCATCTACAAGAGAAAGGACACGAAGTGGACCCCACAGGCATGGCATACACTTTTTTTTAGATTACCGCCCACTTATAACTGGGTCCCAGGGAGAGGAGCCCTTTGCCATGATTTGGCCTAGTTTCCTATTATGGGTAAATGCATGAGATCACATAGGGAGTTAGAGATTGATCCAGAACTGAAGCCTGTGGCTCCTGACTCCCAGACCTCTGCTCTTCAACGTGAAACAGCCCAACAGACCAGAACTTCTCAAACTTTAATGTGGTAACGAATCGCTCAGACCGAATTACAGGAAGATTCTGACTCAGTGTGTCTAGGGTGGCCCTGAGTCCAGCTAGCTCCCAGGATGCCAAGGCTGCTAGTGTCTGGACCACACTTAGAGAAATACCGCTCTTGACCTTTGCCTCTCTAAGTGTGAGCTGCCCAGACCAGCAGCATCAGCATCACCTGGGAGTTTGTTAGCCATGCAAATTCTCAGGCCCTACCTTAGACTGACCAAGAATGGGGCCAATGATCTGTTTTGTCAGCCTTCCCGATGATTCTAACACATGCCGAAGTTTGAGAACTACTGCTTTAGAGTCTAGATAATTTTTCTCTTTTGATTATTCTCCACTAGACTGTTCTTTCTGATTGGGTTGCAGCCAAGGTCTCCAACTCCCTCCTCCCTTGATATATGAAAAGAATTCTGAGAAACAAGATGTTCCAAATCACTACCCCAGGTGTCCAGGTTGAATCACCCTGGGAAAGGAGATCCACCTTGGTCTCCTTATGGTTATACCTACACAAGTAGCTAAATCACATTGTCCCCTCCCTCTGAAGGGCTGCCAGCCCCACGCCCATTCATCCCCTATATAACCCTGCCTGTTATACGGGCACTGACCCCCACCTTAGGAGTCAGCCCGGCAGGTAACTCCCCAATAAAGTTCTCTTGCCTGAACCCAGGTGTGTTCCTCCTTCGGCTGACCTTTCACTTTCCAAAGTGCAAATCTGACTATGTCACTCTCCTGCTTAGATCTTTCAATGGCTCCCTATCACCTTCAGGACAAATCCCAAGCTTCTCAGTATGGCCTACCAGGTCCTTAGTGACCTGGCCCATGTCTCTAGTCTTCCTCCAGCTTTTTGCCCCAGCCAGGTGGCTGTAAGACTTGGGGTTTCTTGACCCACTCACCCCCAAGCTGTCCCTCACTTCCGCCCTTTTCATCACAGCCCCTGCCTCCAGGTGCAGTGTGAGTAGAGGGGACTTTCTCCCTCCTTGTTTGAATACTGTGCCTTCTGCTGCTGCAGCGGAGTGAGCTCTACTGACAGCCTCATGATCGAGCCCCTCAGAGTGAGCTCAGAGCCCAGTACAACTGCTAGCTGGGCAACAACCTCCTGATCTCACTACCTTCTAACTCGTCATCCAAAAATCCCCAAGAGGGATTCCCAACACAAAATTTGATCGTATTATTTTTCTGCTTAAACACCAATTACAAGACCAACTGCTCAGCATAGCATTTAATGATCCCTGTCATCTCTCCCCACCTACATTTCCAGTCACAGTTGCTAGTCCTTCCACATCCAGCCAGAGTGTACTCCTCAGGTGATGCTGACACCTCGCCGCCCTTTCTCTGAACCATCTCTTCCATGCTCGAAATCCCACCTGTTCCTTTAAGGCTCAACTGTAACTCAGGGCTTCTCAACATTGACACTGTTGACATTTCGGGCTAGATCATTCTTATTTTTTCCTCACCCGAGGACATTTTCCATTTTTTGTTCAGAGAGAGAGGGAGAGAGAGAGAAACATCGACGTGAAGGGACACATCGAGTGGCTGCCACCAGCACGACCAACCAGGGCCAGGAACAAACTGCAACCGAGGCACGTGCCCTTAGCGGGAACCAAACCTGGGTCTCTCTGGACCGCAGGCCGACGCTCTAACCGCTGAGCCAAACTGGCCAGGGCCTAGATAATTCTTTATTGTGGAAGGCTGTCCTGTGTGTTACAGGATGTTGAACTGCATCTTTGGCCTCTACTCACTGATGTCAGTAGCCACTCGCCCCTTCAATTTGTAACAACCAAAAATATCTTCAGATACTGCCAAATGACCCCTGGAAAACAAAATCCCCCTTAGTTGAGAACTATGGCTCTAACATTATATTCTCCGGGAAGGCTTCCCTGACACACTAAGCCATGTGATATTGGGTAAGCTCTTTAAAATCTCTTTAAATTCTCAGTATTCTTATCTGTAAATGGGTTAATAAGAACCTAAAGTAGATGGTCGTGAGGCTTAACTGAGATAACAGGTATGGAATTCCCAGTACTCTGCCTGGTTCATAGAAGCTGCTAAAAAAATATTGGTTTATTTTGTTTGCCCCCAAGATAACAGACAGGTGGAAGAATTCAGTTGTTATTATATACCACAGATTTTCTGCTACTTTGTTCTGGAGATGTTTCTCCCCACCCCCATGCCCACCCCCCAAACCCCCAAACTCCCAAACTCCCGTCATTTAAAGCTACTTAAGCCCTGGCCGGTTTGGCTCAGCGGTTAGAGCGTCGGCCTGCGGTCCAGAGAGACCCGGGTTCGGTTCCCGCTGGGGGCACGTACCTCGGTTGCAGTTTGTCCCCGGCTCTGGTTGGTCGTGCGGGTGGCAGCCACTTGATGTGTCCTTTCACGTCGATGTTTCTCTCTCTCTCTCTTCCTCTCTCTCCCTCCCTCTCCATCTGAACAAAAAATGTCCTCGGGTGAGGATAAAAAAATAAATAAATAAATAAAGCTACTTAACTTTAAATGCAAGGGCATTTTCAATTGGCCACATTTGCCAGGGTGCCCTTCTGCCTGCTTACAGGAGGTGGCACTCATTAGCTAATGGGCCCACAGGTTGAAAAAATAACTATAAATTGCTATGTCCCCTTCTACTCGCCCCATTTCTGGGGAGCCTGGACCCCAAATAATGTGGTCATGAGTTCCTTTGGAAGCCACATGGCCTATGTTTAAATAATAGTTGCCTCCCAGGGCAATAGAACTGGCTTAAGTCCATCAGTAGAATTTGCTTCACCTTCTCAATGCGTCAAAGTCCTCTGCTCAGTCCCCTACCCTCAAGAAACACCAGTATTTAAAGTATTTATTATCTCCCCCAAGACATCAGGACTTTGCAGATGACAAGAAGACCAGCTTATATTTGTATCACATTTGGGCAGTCAGTCTTGCCCACCCATTTGCTCAGTAGAGCTTCACAGCAGCTCCCTGTGGGAGGCCAAGCAGAGGTGCTCGTGCCCATCCTGCAGCTGAGAACGTGAAGGCCCGGACAGGAGCCGGACTTGCCTCCCGACTTCACCTGTGAGTTCCTTAGAGGCAAGAACTGTGTTATCTTTCGTCTCTATACCCCTAGGCCCAGCACACAGCAGGCACGTGTTAAATATTGCTGAACAAGCGATTCTGTGAGATCAGAGTTGTCATCGCATTTCAGTGGTGCAGAGGCTGCCGTGGAAGTGAGTTGCCCTAGGTTGTGTGGCCAGCGCCTGATGGAGCCAGGACTCACATTCAGGCCCGAAACTCCAGAGTCTGTTCCTCCTACCACAACTTGTGTTTCCCCATAATTTGCCTGAACAAACATGGTGTCTGGGAAGAAGGAAGCCAACTGATTTCGGACACAGACCCTGGACCTAGACCCTGGAACTGGCTCTGTGCACTTCATTTGTGGGGTTCAGGCTGTACCTACTTCTGTCTGGCTGACAGAAACAAGTACCCTGGGGAAGAAGGTGGGGAGGAGGAAGAAATGCCCCAACCAGGAGTGGCAAAGCACAGAGGCCAGAAATAAAGTCTGTAGCAGGATAGGGACAGGAAGCTTTTCCTCAATGGATGAGGTAGGCAGCCCTGGGCTGTGGAAGGGTTAAACTTGCTGGTCTGACTCTAGAAGAAATGGGTGAGGAGACAGGTATCGGGACCAGAAACAATATCTATGATGCTTTGACCATTCTTGTCCCAGTTTGCAACTTATTTTTCAGAAATTAAAGCTAGATCCTCTAGGACCTTGTCACTCCAAGTGTGGTCCCTTGGAGCCCCAGGATCGCCTGGGGAGCTAGTGAGACATGCCAAATCTCAGAGCCTTCTGAAGTCCTACTGAGCCAGAATCTGCATCTTAGTGAGATCCCAGGTGGTTTAAGTGCAAACAGTAAAGTTTGGGAAGTGCTGGCCCGGGACAGTTAAATCGGCCTTGGCCAAGCTTCCGCTGTCAGCAGTGATGACACCAGGCATCATCTCTCAGCCCTGGAGACCGCAGACACCTGCAGGCACCCAGTTCTCTAACTGAGGCCTGCTGCTCCCCCAAAGGGGTATTTAACAAAGAGGTATTGTGCTTTCACTTGCTGTTCTGTTACCTATGCTGTTTATATTTTATTAGGGAAATTTTAAAATATACATAAAGGCTGAGAGAACAGTCAGCATAGTCAAACCTCTATGTACCTATTACCCTATGATAATATTTTAAGTTGCCCCAAAGTCTTAATGAGAACAAGAGCTGCCAGTTAAATGAACAAAGTATGAAGTTGAAAGCAGTTCTCAAACCTTTGAGTGCATATAAGTCAAGATGCATAGGGTCTGGGGAAGGGCCCTGGAATATACATTTTCACAAGCAACCCAGGTAGCGCTGACACCAGGGACCTTGGGACACACTGGAGAAAGGGCTGCAGGATCAACTTTGCTGATAATAGTAATCTCTACAGCTACAGCACGTGGATCAGCCAGCAAGGCAATGCTGGCCTGAAGTACTCACTCATTCACCCAGCTTTTACTGAGCTCTAAGTCTGTGACATGGACTCTGCCTGGTGCTGGTTAACAGACGAATCTTGTGGGGAGATGGGTGAGTAAACGACATTCATTCCACTTGGCCACCCAAGCCTCTTGCCTTCTTCAATTTCCGGGTTTGAGAGTTGGGCCAAATTCATGGGGTTGATCCCCATGAAAACCAGGAAGTTAAAAGTGTATCTGACCACTTTGTAAAGCTTGTGGGGCTTAGACCAAGATGTGGAAGTTTCAGGAAGGGATATATCTGCCCATAGCAAGAAAGGGTTTTCTTACAAATGGAGCTGTCCAGTAAAGGAACAAGATTTCCCATCTAGTAGGGACTAAGGAAAGGATTCCTATTCCATTCCAGGTAAAATCTGGCCTGGGGAAGTGATTATCAAAGTGTGGTTCCCAGACCAGTAGCTTTAGCATCACCTAGTGCTTGTTAGAAATGTACATTTTCAGGCCCACCTCAGATCTGACTCAAACTCTGGGGTGGGGTCCAGCAATCTGGTTTTTTTTTTGTTTTTCTTTTTAATAATAGTTTTTTATTGATTTTAGAGAGAGAGGAAGGGAGAAGGAGACAGAGATAGAAACATCAATGAGAGAACATCGATGGGGCGTCTCCTGCATGCCCCCCACTGGGGATTTGGCCCACAACCTGGGCATGTGCCCTCAGGGGGAACCAAACTGGCAACCTCTTGGTGCATGGGTTGACGCCCAACCACTGAGCCACACCAGCAAGGCCAGCAGTATGTTTTAACAAGCCTTCCAGGTGATTCTGATGGTCACTAGAGCTTGGGAACCACTGATGGAGGTGAACCATGATGTCCCTTTGAGCTCAGAGGGCCTTAGCATGGATTTCACAAGTAGCTAAACAGCAGTCATTTCACTTGTGACATTCAGCTCTAAATTCCTTGTCACTGTGCTCATATTAGCTCCTCTCCCTTGATTTCCCTGTTTCTCTATTCAGGATATTAGATGTTCCCCCAGCTAGACCCTGTCACTCCAGGTTTTCTGCTTTGTGTGCCTAGTTGAAAGCACAGACTGAAGTTAGAAGGAATGGGTAAACATTTCAGGGACAGGGAGATGGGGGTGAACAGTGACCCTTTGCCTCTCTCCTCCTATACCTCTCACCATCTCCAACCTTGGGTGGAGGGGAGCAAGAAGAGGGCAGGAGGAGTTAGAGGCAGGAGATCTTTGTGTACCTGATGCATGTGCTTCTTCAATGTAAATGACGAGAAAGTCTGCTGTGGAACTGAAGTCTTCAATAAGTCTCTTGAATTGGTCAAATTTGAAAAGAAATGAAGGTCAGGTACAACTTCCAAAATTCAGCACCAGTGGCCTGTTGCCTGAAACAGAAATGGAACCACACCAAACAGTAATCTACACACAGCATTTATTTTGCAAGCACCATCTTCACCTCCGCTTCAATTCTGTTGTCGTTATTTCCCTCTAAGATGGATTAAGGGCACAGTGGGGAGCTGAAGCTTAGAGAGTATGACTTAGCGGAGCCAGTTTGCTCCTCTATGAAATGAGGAGTTTCATCAGATGGTCTTAGTGGACCACCTGCAGTTGCTGGGTGGGAAAGAAAAGAATGATAAGAAGAGTCCATTTCATGCAGTTTACAAGGCAAATGCACATCCATTCTCTCGTGTAATGTGATTAGTATACTACAAGGTAGGTAATTTTTTCCTCCCTTTGTAGACAAACTGAGGTTTATGGGCTTGTCTCATGTCACATAGCAGGTGAGTAGTGGAGCTACAATTAATACTCTGGTTCCTAGACTCTTAATTTAATGCTCTTTCCAAAGCACCTTAGTGTCTTCATCCATAAATGGACATAGTAATAATACTTTGTAGGATTGTTATGAGAATTAAAGGGGTTAATACAGATAAGGGTCCATAGGAGGTGCTCAATAAATGTAAGCTGTTCTTATTAGCTATTATCTACTCCCTGAGCTATGATGTGAAAGGGACTCCACAAAATGGAGTGAAAGGTGGGAGCAGGGCCAGCTACATAATTTGCTGGGTCCAGTACAAAATGAAAATTCAGGGCTCCTTGTTCAAAAATGGGGACGGTGCCATTGAGTATATAAAAATATAAAGATTTTTCTTTTGTGGTCTCTCCCTTGCCCTGGCATGGTACTTTTTTTTAAATCCTCACCTGAGGATATTTTTCCATTTATTTTCAGACAGAGTGGGAGGGGAAGAGGTGGGGGAGAGAGAGAGAGAGAGAGAGAGAGAGAGAGAGAAAGAGAGAGTTAGAGAAAAAGAGAGAGAGAGAGAGAGAAAGGGAGAAACATCGATGTGGTTGATTCCCACACGACCCCGATCAGAGGACCTAACCACAACCAAAGTACATGCCCTTGAACCGCAACTGAAGTATGTGCCTTTGAATGAAACTGAACCTGCGACACTTTGGTCCACAGGCCAACGCTCTAACCACTGAGGGACACCAACCGGGCAGCATGGCACTTTTTAGTTACTGTTTAATGTTGCACTCCCCTGGGCACAGGGATATTCATAGGGTGAAGGCAGACCCTCAAAGACACCCAGGAGCCCCAAAATTCAGTGTGCATGTGTATGTGTGTCTGTGGTCACTGGCTACTGGCTTTCCTCTCCCTCCAGCCACCAGACCAATGCACCACGCCCCAGCCAGGAACCAGAGATTTCTCCTTCCCACTTGCCTTCCACCCCAACCCACAGGAGATTACAAACTGTAGAGGGACATGCTAGGTACCTTGATGGAGGAGGGAGGTGGCAAGAGACCCCTCCTATCCAATTACCCCCAGTCACTTGCCAAATTGTACCATGACGCTGTCAGCCCAGGATGCGGACGGTTGCCTTCCTGCTCTGTCATGAGACACTGCGGGATGCCCACACCTGAACCTGGCCCATGTCCAGGCCCTAATTGGGGCCAGAAGGTGGTAGCAGTCACTGGGTGAGAACAGGAAGGAGGCTACATGGGTTGGGAGTGGAAGGGTGGGTCTTGGAGAACTTGTCCTAGGGGAGCAGGGAGGCTGGGATCCTGCAGGAGCTAAGGCTCCAAGTACCTGGGGCATGTTCCATTGTCGCATCAGGTTACAAAATGGCAAATTCAAAGATAAAACTGTTAAGAATTTCAAGACATCTATAGCAGAGCATTAAAACCTCAAGCATGGGGCCCTTTTGAATGTGGGACCCTGTGTGATTCACTAGTCCCATGAAGCCTGCCCTGGGAGGGAGCCTTCTGTAACTCTCCCAGCCTAATCGAGGAGAACTCTAGGGAGCCGCTAGCACCCTGTGGTTACTTATGGCCAGAGCTGTCATTGTTGAGCCCTTACTGTACACCTAGGAGAGCATGGCAGGTCCTGCACTGTGACAGGGCGTCTGTATCGCCCAGGCGGCTCACTGCCCCTTGAGGGCAGGCCTGTTCCTCATTCATCCTCGCATCCGCAAACGGGACACACTCTCCTTCCACCTACAAGCGTTGATTCTGCACTATCATGTACAAGGCTCTCTGTGACACACTAGGGATTCAGCAGAGAAAAGACAGCAGGTCTCTGCCTGCATGAAATTTGAGGTCTGTTTAATGGGGAGCAATTTGAGGTCTATTTAATGGGAGACTAGCAAAAAAAATAGGTAAAGGCATAAATAAAGTAATTTCAAGTTATGATAAGTATTATGAAAGAGACTCTAAAGGAATGACCTACTTTATTGATTTAGAAAAAAAATTTTTTTTTAGGAGTGACCTACTTTAGACAGGTGGGTCAAGGAAAGCCTCTGATGAGATGTTATTTAACTGGAGAAATGAAGACTAGGAGTGAGCTAGTGGGGACAAAGGGAGGAAAAGGGCATTCCAGACAAAGAGACTCCATATATAAAGGCCCTGAGGAGGGACAGACAGAGCTTGATGTGTTCAAGGACCTGCAAGGCCAATGTGACCGAAGCCAGGCTCGGGGTGGAGTGGGAGTCGTGGTTGGATAGGGCAGTATGGGCCAGAGCTGGCAGGCTCTCCTGCACTGTAAAGAATCTGAATTTTTGCCCTGGTCAGTTTGGCTCAATGGTTAGAGTATCGGCCCGCAGACCAAAGAGTCACGAGTTTGATTCCGGCCAAGGGCACCTACCTCAATTGTGGTTAGTCCCAAGTCCCAGTTGGGGTCGTGCGGGTGGCAATCAATCAATGTGTCTCTCTCACATTGATGTTTCTCTCTCTCTCTCCCTCCCACTCTGTCTGAATATAAATGTAAAAATATCTTTGGGTGAAGATTAAAAAAAAAGAATCTGAATTTTATTCTAGGTACAATAGGTCGTCATGGATATACAAAGCAAGGAGGGTGATATTTGTTATAAGTTTGGCTGCCCAGCTTCTAATTCTTCTTCTTACTTGGAATTTCCTATTTTGTGTACTATTTATTGATGGGAGAGTGTGCCCAGCCTTGCTCTATGGAAGACAGAGGGGCCAGGGCACAGTCAGTGACTCAAGTAGGACTGCTTGGACCTTCCCATATAGATCTTTGATTCTGGAGTCATTGAGATGGTAGGATTCATCCACGGTCCAGTGGTAGTGCACATCAGGGATGGTGGAGTCCTACAGTGTTGATGGTTTCCCATGGCAACCACAGTGAGAGCAGTACCCAGGCCTGACCATTGATGCCAAAAGATAGTCCAGGCCCAGTGCTCCAGCTGTGGTTGATTCTGGGGATCTGACAACACTTTGTATACACTAATACACCCCTTTGTATATGTATGTGTGTGTGACTAAGAAAACCGGAGTGAGTTTTTATTGCTTGCAAGCCAGCGCTCTAACTGCTACGGTAGAGCTGTATAATGAAAAAATGATCAGATTTACACAGAAGACTCCTCCAGCTGCTCTGTGGGGAAAGGACTGAGGTGAGAATGGAAGTTGGAAAGAAATAGCCAGGGGGTATGGCGGAAATTCACATGAGAGATAATGGGAGGACGGGCTAGTGTGTGGTCAGTAGAGAAGGGAAAACTGGAATGGACAGGACTTGCTGATGCATGGGGAGTAGAGGGCATCTTAACTTGCTTGTGGTTAGTTATTCCCTCATCTACTTCCACAAAGGATTTGAATCAGCTTACACATAGAATAAAATATTAAATAGAGATTTTTAAAAAATCATGCCCCTCTGAGAGGCATAGAAGAGGAGGGAAATGTGGGACACAAATAAATAGGCCTTCAGGTCCCTGCATTTATTACAATTGTGCTAATATTTGATTCTGAGTTTCCTAGTGGCCAAGTAAAAGGGGAAGCCATTGGTTATATATTCCTCATTTTTCAGTATATGAGGAGAAAGCAGCTCAATTTCTCTGGAGATACACAGTTCTCCTTGTCCTTGGCTCACAGATTTTTCTCATAGGAGGCCCTAGAGGGTGGTGAGAGGGCCTCAGTGGCTGTTGGTTGATTGCACAATGAGTCCTCTCCCATGTGACAGGTATGCCCAGGCCTCAGCAGGAGAAGCTCAGAGGTCAGTCACGGACAAGTGGCCAGCCATTGGCCTCCAATGACCTCAGGGAGTTACCCTACAGATAAGAATCCAAAAGACTTAAATTCAGGAGCAGAGTTAAATATTAGCTGTCTAGAATTTGTTTTTAATTGAAAAAAAAAAAAAAGATTCAGCACCCACTATTAGGACCTTAGAAGAGACAGAGCCATTTGTTTATTTTTAGTGTAGTCGGGTGCAGGGATCAGTTTTGAGGACAAAGTTTAAACTTAGTTCCCTGCTTTCCTGGTAGCAGAGAGAAGGGTGGGTACAGGGGGTGGCAGTTCTGGGGGGCAACACCTTGCTCATGTCCACAGGCCATGATGCAGAGAACACCATTTCAAGGATGTTGAGCAATACCCTTGCTGCATGGCTCAGTTGGTTGGAGCATTGTCCGTCTGGTACACCAAAAGATTACAGGTTCAATTCCTGGTTGGGGTACATACAGGAGGCAGCTGGTTGAAGTTTCCCTCTCATATCGATGTTTCTCTCTCTGTGTCTAAAACTCAATTTAAAAAAAATAATAATAACCTCAGGTGAAAATTAAAACAAAAAGAAAGTCAGCCAAGGACAGTCAAATTCAACTCGCTTGTATACATGGGAAAACAGCTCTGTAGTAGTGCTGGACTCAAATCTACCATCATGACCCCCCAGACCAGTAAATTAACCCCCACAATGGGCTCTCCCAGCAGAGAAAGCTGGATAACACCTCATAAACATACTAGGAGAGATTTTAAATAATATTAAACAAAGGCTGAAATAAATCTGGTTTCAGATTAACTCCTAGCTGCCTAGAAAATAAATCATCAAACTTGCCTTCTGCCACAATACACCAGTTAACCAGTGTTTTGCTGTGTGTGTGTCCGAAGGCATGCGTATGTCATGTATGTGCATGTGCATGAACATGCAGAGGATAGGCGGTGTCTGAGAATTCCTCTGATCCTCTGTTGTCTTACTCAATAACAGAAAGTACATGGGCTGAGAGTCAGAAGGCACAAGTTCTAGTTCTGGCTCTATAAGAACTTGCTGTGTGACTCTGAGTGAGTAATTTACTTCTCTGGGCTTTTGTGTCTAAACAATGAAAGAGTTGCCCTGGCCAGTTTGGCTCAGCAGTTAGAGCGTCGGCCTGCAGTCCAGAGAGACCCGGGTTCGGTTCCCGCTAAGGGCACGTACCTCGGTTGCAGTTTGTCCCCGGCCCTGGTTGGGTCATGTGGGTGGCAGCCACTCAGTGTGTCCCTTTCACGTCGATATTTCTCTCTCTCTCTCTCTCTCTCTCTCTCTCTCTCTCTCTCTCTCTCTCTCCCTCCCTCCCTCCCTCCCACTCTATCTGAACAAAATATATAAAAAAATGTCCTCAAGTGAAGATTAAAAAAAAAAAAAATGCAAGAGTTGCTTTAGGTTACTTTCAGTGTGGCTCTAAAATGAGTTCAGATATATACCTAAAGCATACTATAGAGCTTTTTAGTGGCCTCATGGATTTCCAAAGCAGGTACAGGATGTATTTCTAATAAGCAGACCTGATCGTGTTAACTTCCTGCTTGAAAATCTTTCTAGAACCCACCAATACCCTCAGGCTAAAGTCTACTCTTTGGTGAGACATATAAAGACCCGCAAGCTCTAGTTCTTGATGATGTCTCCAGCCTCCACCCCTTCGTGACTCCCACACCTCACTTCTGCGAAACTGACGGATGTTCCTCCCTATCTCGGACCTCTGCTGCTCCTCCCCTCCATCCCGCTCTGCTCCCTCTCGCCCTTTCTCACCCCAAGGCTTCACTGTCCCTAGACAATCAGCTCACCATCCTCTTTTCCAGGAATCCTTCCTCTGAATACCTCCCTATGCCACCCCACTTCTTTCATAACCTTCTGGCTCTCTCTCTCACTACACCATCTCTCTCTTTGGGTTGTGAGAGCTACCAGGACAGAGACCAGCTGTGTGGATTTCTGTACTGCCAGCACATACTATTTCAGAGGACTCTGGGTCAATGTGATGAAAGCCAACTCTATTTCATAGTTTTATCTTTTAGGTTTATCTTTTAGTCTCCTTCTCTCTTCTTTCTTCAGTCTCATGTATAATCGCAGGAAACAGAGATAAATAGAACAGTCTTTAAAATGTGAACTGGCCCACTGAAAATGAACAACTAAAAGAGGCAAGTAAATTCTGTGAACTGACCATGAGACAAGTTGGCTTTCACGGAATTGATTGCTAGATGATTGATATTCTGCACATTGGCCTGGTTCTATCACAGTGCTGGCACATAGTAGATGCACACTAAAATTTAGTTGCTATGCTTATTGCTCTTACTACCAGTGGTCACTTGGTGTTTATGGACTAACTAGAGGTTTTTGTGCACCCTGGTTTAAACTCACGAGCAAAAAACTCTTGGCTTTCTTTTTGCTTGAAACACTCCGCTTTTCCATTCTCAGGTACAAAAATCTTATTCTTCAAGGCCTAGTTCCAAATCCACCTCCTCCAGGAAAACTTCCAAGCCCTTCAGGCAAAGTTCCTACCTCCAGAGCTTCCCCCATCTCACAGAACTGTAAGAATTTTTCACATCCACCTGTTCTGTAGAACCAGAAACTCCTTGAGTGAAGGAGCAAGTCTTACCTAACTCTGTGTCCGTGGCATCTAGCTGAGGGCCTGGCACATAGGAGGTGCTCATATTGTTGAGGTATAGTGAAGAAAACAGGAAGAAGAAGCCCTGATTCTGGGTCTGACTCAGTCACTGGCTCTATTACCTTTGCCTCTCAGTGTTCTCCATTTCCTTTCTAAAACGAGAGGACTAGATTAGGTCAACATTTCCCAAAGGGTGTTCTATGGAACCGATGTGATGAAAGGCATTTCCTCTGGCAAAGAGTGGGATGAGGGGTGTGTGTGTGTGTGGTTGATGTGTTAGGAAAATTTGTCAATGCTGTGTTAAAGTTTTTTCAAATCTTGTTCATTTACTTTTAGGCTTCAGGTCTTCTCAGAGCCTCTTATATGTTCACATGCACCATGAGTTTCCAGAGGAGGGTACAGTGTGAGGGTTTCTCAAACTACTTAGACCAGGGGGCCCTATATAATACAACGTATGTGTGGGGCTTGGGTTCCAAAGAACACTGTAAAGCTCTACAGTAGCCAACTGCCTCAGGGATTTTCTCTACTCTATCTGCTATGTCTAGGCCCCTGGAATTCAGAGATGAATCAGCCCTCTTGCAAGACTTCCCACTGGGCAAGAAGAAAACACTTGTGCTTAGGCAGCCCGAGGCTGGGTAGGAACAATCGGCGCCTGAGGAGAAGTACAGACGGAGAGCCATGAATCCAGAAGAGTGTGCGCATGCCCAGCTGTAAGCATCTGAGATGGCTTCACAGACTGGGTGACAGGAGAGCAGGACCTGACATGAGGGGGACTTGAACTGTTGGCAATGGAGTGGAAGAGCCAACTGTCTTTCCCAAGGACAGAAGGGAAAGCACAAGGGACACACAAGGTCCGACGTTGTCTACAGGCAGTGAAGGTGAGGAGGAGCTTGCAGGTGAATTTGGGAAGAAAAGCTGGAATCAGTCCAGGAAGGACCTTGAGCACAAAGCACAGCCCAGGGAGGGCCTTGAGCATTCACTCTGAATGCATGGGGTGGGAGTGCACACGTTTGGAAGCTGGGGTATTGAGGGGTCAAGGCTGTGCCTGTGGAAGGGCAATCTGGCAGGCATTCACAAGTTGGGTGGGAAGAGAGGGCACAAAAAGGAGGAGGAAGTCCTGGGCAGAAAGGACAAAAGGAGAAAACTGATTGGAGAGGACTTTAAGAACCCAAATAGATTGAGCTGTTTGCCTGGAAGAGACAGAGAACACATGAGAGATCTTCAGCAAATATTTACTGAGCAACTACTCTGAGTCAGCAGCAGCCACAGGGGTGCAATAGTGGGTGAGAGCCATGGTCTGCACCTGCACAGAGCTTGCAGGCTAGTGAGGGTGACAGACATTAACCAAATACCACACATAATTACAAACCAGGACGGGTGTAATACTAAAGAAAAGTTTAGGATATTAAGTATACAAGAAGGGGTAACCTAGTCTGGGGAGCTGGGGTTGGCTTGTCGCAGGAAGTGTCACCGAGAAGAAATCTGAAGGATGAACAGGAGTTGATGGGGGGTGGGGGGTGCATCTCAAGCAGAGTGATCATGTGGTAAGAGTAGTCCTAGAGACACTGGAAGCCAGTGTGGCTGCTTCATAGTTTGAGTGCCTGCAAAGGTGCTGATGCCAGTCAGAAAAAGAGAGTCCTGGTTTCAGGACGTATGAAGAAGACAGGAAGCCCTGGCCGGTTTGGCTCAGCGGTTAGAGCGTCGGCCTGCGGTCCTGAGAGACCCAGTTCGGTTCCTGCTAAGGGCGCGTACCTCGGTTGCAGTTTGTCCCTGGCCCTGGTCGGTTGTGCGGGTGGCAGCCACTCGATGTGTTCCTTTCGCATCGATGTTTCTCTCTCTCTCTGTTTCTCTCTCTCCCTCCCACTCTACCTGAACAAAAAATGGAAAAATGTCCTCGGGTGAGGATTAAAAAAAAAAAAGAAGAAGAAGAAGAAGACAGGAAGCCAAAAAATGAGCAGCTGGAGTAGTGGAAGAATTCAGGACTTTCCAACCCACTTCCCAACCGCCTCGAGCATCCCCATTCTAAGCACCTCTTAAACCTCCTGACCTTGCATGAAGTCCCAAATGTTACACCTCTGTCCCGAGAGGCGGACCACGGGGCAGTTTGGGGCTAGACCCCCTTCCTCAGTCTTGTCCTCCAGTCGTTGCCAACGGACCTTCAGGATGAACCAGAAATACTGGGTGCTGAAGAGGGTCGGAGCCCAGTTGTCATAGGAGAAGTGCGGGTTCTTCCGGTTCATGGCCAAGATATGCTGCTTGACTTTCTCGGGAAACAGTTTCAGTTGTACTTTGCCCAAGGTCACATGCAGGGCCACCTGCAAGAGTACCCAGAGCCTCTTCAGCCACAGCCCTGGCTGGGGCAGCCCCATCTTGGCACAGCCAGAACTGGCTCTGAGGCTAAGGGACAGAGACACCCAGCTGGGCCACACTGGGCGGAGCTGAACAAAGGTGCAGAGTGGAAGTAGCCAACTCTGGGCTGGAGGAAGGTATGAGAACAGAAGGTGTTTGCCTTCCTGTCAATGGAATGGAAAATTCCAAACCAAGTGCTCAAAGTTCTGTTCTAATTATTATCATTTCTGATTCTTTGTCTTAACCTTTGGGAGATTCTTGGATTGGAAGACTTCAGATCTTAAATTCTCCTTCTAATAAAGTTTTAAGAACAAACACTTTAAAAGATCACATTTAAAGGGACTCCATGGTCCTTTAGAAAGGTTCTGTTACAAGCGAGTAAGTTCTAATGGTAATTATTCTTTTAATAAAGTAAATACTTCTTTTACTAATGAAAGATGTTTTCCCCACTCACAGCTTCTAGCTGGTGGTTGAGTGTTTCTGGAGACAGAACTGTCCCTGGAGGATTTGGGTCTGAAGCTCCCCAGGCAGATGCAGAGCTGGGGCCATCCCCAAGGAAAATTGGGCCCTTGACTTCCCTCAGCACTGGGGGCAGAGGATAAATACAGCACTCTGATCTCAGTGGTGTGGTAGCCTAGAGTGGGGAAGAAACAAACAGAAAATTACCCCTCAGTTTTCAAAGTCTTTGAAATCTACTGTTTTATCTTTAAAGATGTATGTAATTTGACACATAGATACAGAGAACAAACTATGGTTGCCAGATGGGAGGGGGTTAGGGGGTTGGGTGAAAAAGGTAAAGAGATTAAGAAGTACAAATTGGCAGCTACAAAATAGTCACAGGATGTAAAGTGTTGCCTATTTCAGTTCTGCCATGCCCACACATGGTTTCAAACAGTCGTTGCTCTTTTATTTATTTATTTTTTTTATCTTCACCGGAGGATATTTTTTCCTTTTTTTTTTTTTTTTTGTTCAGATAGAGTGGGAGGGAGAGAGAGGAAGAGAGAGAGAGAGAAACATCGAGAGAGAATCATCGACATGAAAGGGACACATCGACTGGCTGCCACCTGGGGGACCAACCAGGGCCAGGGACAAACTGCAACCGAGGTACTCGCCCTTAGTGGGAACTGAACCCGGGTCTCTCTGGACCACAGGCCGACACTCTAACAGCTGAGCCAAATGGGTCATGGCAAACAATCGTTGCTCTTAACATCAGGTACATTTAAAAAAGGGAAAGAGGCCTGTTTGTTGAGACTCCAAAAGAAAAAGATTGAAATGGTACCAACTGCCCATCTCTTACTTGCAACCTCTGGAGCCAGGATGAAATGCTCCCACAGTGCCAGAAACCTTCTTGGGATGGATATCACTCATGGGGTGTCGAAGACACTTTCTGGAACATGGCTCAGCTCTGTGGTCTCCAGCTTTCCTCTTCACAGAGAGCCAGGGGACTCAGGCAGGATCACATGAAGCATCTAACCAAAGCTCATACTTTTCAGAGTGTCTCCTCCACCTCCCATCCCTGTCCATCAGAGCAAGCTCATCAGCTTCCCTTCCCCCCTTAACCTTTCCCCATTCTAAGTGAGGGGGGTGGGTTCTATCTCTCATTGGTTCATTCCTCCATCAGAGCAGTAGATGTCTGATTAGTATCATCAGCTAGGCTCACCTGCCTTACCACACTTGGACAGACAAGTTAAGGAAATCTGAATTTTTGAGCTCAGAGTTTTTCCAACCTTGACACCATTGATATTTCTATCTAGATACTTCTTTGTTATGAGGGGGCTATCCTGTGCATACAGGATGCCTAGAAGCACCCTGGCCCCAGCACCCCACAAATCGTGACAACCAAATGTCTTCAGACATTTAAATAAATATACACTGGAAGCAAAATAACTCCCAGCTGAGAATCACTGTTTTAGTTTAACCAGTACAGTTATCCTTGATTCTTGTCTCACTTTGAGCCAAATCTTACATGTCATTTTAACTAACATATCAGCATACGTTTTACTTCTGTTTCCAAGAGAAGAAATATATAGTCTAGGTGTTATCATCTCCCATCACACACATGCATACTCTTATCACTAGCAATGGGATTGTTGTTGCCATCTGACTGGTGAGCAATTCAGTTCCAAAATTCCAACCTGAGGATTACTTTCTGGGGCCACGCTTGGTACCAACATACTTTAGTGTGGATTTCTCATACTATATTGGCAAGTGTGAATCCAATGACCAGGAGTGAAAGACGGGTTGTAAAGCAGGGGAAGAAGGAGAGTTGTAAGGACCCATTACCAAATCGGCCACTTCCAAAGGCATTTAGTTGCTTGATCCTGTGAAATAGTTTGAAAGGCATTTGAGCTATCTGAGGAGCATCTGTCTGAGGGGAAAAGGAAGAAGCATGTACTCATCTGTTGACACCATAGGTTAAAGATTTGCCCCCTGAGACATTAACCAATCCTCACACCTGCACCTCTGAGTTACAACTGTCTGGGTGCTGAATGGTTCCAGCAGTCCCATGAGCCCATAGTATCAAGACACAAGCCCTGATGCAGAAGGTGAGAAGCCTGACGTATGGGTCGTAGATGAAACTCACTTAGGTTATACCTGCTGAAGCCAGAATAAGGTCAGTGATGGTGAAATAAGCAGCAGGTGAGGTCAAGAGGATATGAAACGGGGCATAAGAAGTGCCTAATACACTTGCACACTTGAATTTATGCATTGGGATTCATTCCTGATACACATTCAACCCTGAACCTACTCTAAGCCTCATCATCTCAAGCTTATAGGATTGTTCTAAGAATTAGAGGTCTTGCATGTGTAAAGCCTAACCATGATGTCAGTTAAACAAATACACTATATTTATGGGCACACACACACACACACACACACACACACAGTAGTAATAGTAGTCAGATGTAAAGTCTTTCCAGCTGACCACAAGGGCCCATTGTGGTGAGGCCAAAGTTACAGGATCCACCTTGTGTGATCTGTGAATTTGGTGTATGCTGGTCAGACAGCCAGAAATTGCTCACTAGCTTTCATGAGCAACTATTTTGTGTGCCCCACCCTGGACTGTGCACTAGGGGAGCCAGAGACCAGAATCATTCCTGGTCCTGGCCCTCAAAGCACTCACAGGCTGGTAAAGATGGGCAAAGAGCAGGAGAAGACAATCTCCCCTAGGAGAAATGGTACCAAAATCTGGAGGGCTATGCATTAACCAGGCAAAGACTGAAGGCTGGGCAAAACATTTCTCACTAGGTCTGCTCAATGCAATTTCACCGTGGTGTACTGGGACCCCGCTCTATCTGAGGTGGCGGTCAGGCGGCCAGACGCTGTCTGGGGACACTGGGGTGAGTGAGCCAATCCTTACCTCCCCCCCGCCCCCTCCTACCCCAACCCTGGGCATAAGGCAGACTGTCGTGGAGTGAAGGAACAAACGACCACACTTACTGGGGTGTCCTTATTAACAGACACCAACCTGACTTTGATCATTCACTCCCTCACTGGTTAATGAATTTTTATGGCCTAAAAGAATTGGGGGGAGGTGACCGACGACTTTTTTTTTCACCATCGTTTTTTGTAACGCTATTTTATATTTCGATAGGAAGAGAGGTAAAGACAAAAAACATAAACTCCACACTTTTTTTTTATTGTCACCGGAGGACATTTTTTTTTTTTTTTTATCCTCACCCGAGGACATTTTTCCATTTTTTGTTCAGGTAGAGTGGGAGGGAGAGAGAGGAACAGAGAGAGAGAGAGAAACATCGATGTGAAAGGGACACATCGAGTGGCTGCCTCCCACACAACCGACCAGGGCCAGGGACAAACTGCAACCCAGGTACGGGAACCGAACCTGGGTCTCTCTGGACCGCAGGCCGATGCTCTAACCGCTGGGCCAAACCGGCCAGGGATAAACGCCACAGCTTGAGAGGTGTCGGAGCCCGCCGGAGCGAGGCGAGCGGAGGGGCACCTTCTCAGCGCGCCCACCTCTCCGCCTGTCTCTTTAAGAACCGGAGCCTCGCACTCAGAAGAGACGGCGAAGGGCGCAGGTAGGTTCGGCGCCGCAGCCGGCTCCGGTCTTGGGATGCTGCTGTCTCTTTAAGGAGGCTGGGCTCTACCCGGAGAAGGCGGAGAAGTACCGCCCCTGGATCTCCAGCTTCCGGCAACTCTGAGGGACCGGAACCTGAGCGGAGCATCTGAGGCCCCAGCCTCCCTGGACGGCTGGACCCGAGGCTCCCGAGGTGAGGCGGCCAGGTGTGTGGGGCCTGCTGGGACAAAGGGGGCCTGGGATCCCCCGCCCGCGCGGGCCGCTGCAGCGCAGCTCCTCCACCTGGAACACTTCCTCTGCTTCTTGGGCAGCTCCTTCCCAGACCTCCCTTGGCCCAGGGTCTCCCAGGCTGCAGGGTCGCCATCACTCCAGCGCCTGCTCTTTGGTTGGCTATGCATAAGCACCTCACTGCCTTATTGAATGCCCCCCCCGCCCCCCCCCCCCCACACCTTATGAGTAGGTGCCATTATGAACCCATTTTACAGATGCGGAAACTGAGGCCCCAGTGAGAAGCAGAAGAATTGGGAATGAAACCCAGGTCTGCCTGACCCCAGGGCCTGTGACCTTAACCACTGGCTAGGCTTAACTGCCTTTACTCTTCACTGTTCTCATAGCCACCTTTCTCAACTCCAGACTCCCCTTCCTCATCCTTCCATCTCCAGGCTGACCGGGTCCCTAAACAAACAGTGAGTGAGACTGTTTGGAATCCCTTTGGGCCCCCCCACCCTTAGTTTGTTTATAACAGTTTTAATAATATTTGATGCTAAATGGTTATCTTTATATAAACCTATCAAACCCTACTAAAAAGAAAGGCAAATACTATTTCAAGTACTGAAGTAAGATTCGTTTGCAGATATTTTATTTTTGTATCCTATTAAGTTGATTCATTTTTACTTTTAGACTTCTGCAAGTTTACTTCCTAATAACTGGGAGAAGACCCACTGGCTGAATGGCAGCTGTAGATGACTTGCAGTTTGAAGGTACATCAGTTGGGTGCCGACCTTTTTCTTTATGATCAGTATTTCTGCATTCACAGCAGTAGATTTTCATTGCAATGCTGGTACTTACGTTAAAGATCATTTCAAACATCTTGGTAAAAGAATGTTGGCCCCACCCAGGTTTTTCTGTTTGTCCACACCAGCTATTCATTTTTGCCAAATAGCCCTTCAGATGGTAACCATAAACTTAGTACAGTGATTACAGAAAGTGTGAATAGAGTTCCTGCTTTAGCTCAACAAACATTTATCCAGCACCTACTTTGTGCTTAGAACTATGCTAGATACAGGAGATAAGAAGATAAAGGAGAAATATTTTATACTGCTGGAGTAGATAAAAGTGTAAAAAGATAATTATAATGAAATATGAAGAAAGGTCATTTCTTCATTGAATCAGTAAGTATCTCATGAGTGTGACCATGAACCAGATCATTGTTCTAGTTATCAGGGATAGAAGAATGAACAGCCAGTTTCTTCCCTTATAAAGCTCTCAGTCTAGTGAGGGAGACATTTATTTGTTAAATGGTCATTTAGAATTAATAAAATAAAAAAAAAGGTCATTTAGATATCTTATTTCAATATTAAGTAATGTACAAACTATGGAAGTGCTGGAGGAAAAGTTCATAACTCATAATCCAGAGCTGATCTAGGCTAGGGATTGACGAACGCTTATTTGTCTTGTAAACTCTTGTGTAGTTCTTACTATATGGCAAACACTGTTCTAAATGCTTTACAAACATTAACTCATTTAATCCTTATGTCGGCTTCATGAAAGTTATTTTATTCTCCCTATTTAGACCAGCCAGTGTGGCTCAGTGGATTGAACGTTGTCCCATGGACTGAGAAGTCCTGATTTAATTCCTAGTCAGGGCACATGCCCAGGTTTCCTGCTCGATCCCCAGTATGGGGTGTGTAGGAGGGAGCCAATCCATGTTTCTCTCTCACATCAATGTTTCTATTTCTCTCTCCCTTCCTCTCTCTTTAAAAAATCAATAACAGTATATTTCAAAAAAATTTATTCTCCCCTCCAGCTGGTGTGGCTCAGTTGTTGAGCATCGACCTATGCACCAAAAGGTCACCGGTTCAATTCCTGGGTCAGGGCACAAGCCCAGGTTGTGGGCCCAATCCCCAGTGGGGGCGTGCTGGAGGTGGCCAATTGATGTTCTTTTTCTCTCATCAATGTTTCTATCTCTCTCTCCCTCTCCCTTCCTCTCTCTCAAGAAATCAATTTAAAAAAAATTTATTCTATTTTCCAATGAGGAAATTGAGGCACAGGAAAATTAAGTAATTTGCCTTACGGTCATATAGTTAATAAGTGCTAAAGCATGGTTTGAACCCAGGCAGCCTACCTTCACAACCTGTGCCATCTCACTAATATCTGAGGAAGAGATACGAGAAATTCGTTTCATCAGCAAATACTGTCCTTTCCATCTTCAAAATACATCCAGCATCTGACCACTTTTCACCACCTCTGCTACTTTCCACCATGCTCAAGGTCATGATTACCTTTAGTCTGGAAGATAGCCCTTATCTTTCTTCAGATCTTCCTGCTCCCTTCCTTGCTCCACTATAGTAGGTATTTTACAGCCAGAGAGTCCTTTAAAACTAAGTCAGATCATGTCATTCCTGTAAAACCTTCCAGTGGCTCTTATCTCACTAGGAGTGAAAGCCAGAGCCCATTCTGTGCTTGGGAGGCTCTACATGATTCAGCCCTCTACTGCCGCTGATTTCATCTACTACTCTTGCCCTTTCTCTGCTGTACTCACACAAGCCCCATCACTGTTTCTCCTGGACACCAAGTACACACACAGCTTAGGGCTTTTGTACCATCATCTGTTTGGGGCATTCTTACTCCAGATAGCTACATGGCTTGTTTCCTCACTCTGTTCAGATCTCACTTCATTAGAGAGGCCTTCCTTGGCCATCCTGTGGGTCGCAACCCCTTTGGGGGTCAAAGGACCCTTTCACAGGGGTCACCTAAGACATAACAGTAGCAAAATTACAGTTATGAAGTAGCAACGAAAATAATTTTATGGTTGGGGATCACCACAACATGAGGAACTGTATTAAAGGGTCGTGGCATCAGGAAGGTTGAGAACCACTGCAGTACAGTGTGAGAACATGCAAGCGTAAAGAATGGCATATACAAAGTACCTGTGGAGGGAGGAAGTTTGCTTGATCTTCGCCCCCATGTTATTGAAAGAAGGCCAAGGTACCAGAGCAAAGATGATGGAGAAGGCTGTCACAAGGTGAGGTTTGAGAGGGGAGAGGAGCCAAATCTCACAGGACTTTATAGACTTAATGTTAAGGACTTTGCTCTGGGGGTCATGGAAGTCTTTCCCGAGGAAGATTGGTAGTGTTAGATGAACAAGTGGAGTTCAAGTCTCTTCAGGTGGAAGACATTGTGTCAAGAAAGGAACAGAGGCAAAACAGCATGGGCTATAGATGCAGAGACTGTTGGTGGCAGAAATAAGAGGCATACTAATCTTGTCCTCAGGAGTAGAAATGGGCAAGAATAACTAATAGAGAGCAGAATGTGTGAATAGTTATCATGTGAGAGGTACTCACATTCTACATTTCAATCAAACGATGCCATCTTTTATTCTTCAAACCCAGGACACATTTTCTATCTTCTCAGTCTTGCGCATCCCATTTGCTTTGCATGAGATACTATCCCCACCACTCTGACCATTCTTCTTCAAGAAACCTTTCCAAAATCATATGGCTGCTTCTCCAAGAAACTTCCAAAATCCATCAGCTACATGAGATGAGTTATCCTCCTCCTTTGAATCTCTTTGGCCTTTGTACCTCTCACCTGACACTGTCTGTTTTTCCTTCTAGCAGCTCCTGCCCCCTAGTAAATATAAGGCTTAAGTATATCTTCCTTGGTCTGCTTCCCCCAGGCACAATTGTAACTGTTTATTTATTAGTCCTCACATGAGAATATTTTTCCTTGATTTTCAGATAGAGTGGGAGGGAAGGAGAAAGAGAGGGAGAGAGAAACATTGATGTGATGAAAGACACATAAATTGGCTGCCTCCCTCATGACCACAATCGGGGTCGGGGATCGGAGATCTAACCACTACCGAGGTCCATGCCCTTAACTGGAATTGAACCTGCCTCTCTGGTCTCCGGGCTGATGCTCTTACCACTGAGCCAAACCAGCACAGGCAAACTGTCTTTTAAAATGTCAGTACCAGTCAATATATGATAGCTCCTACAATATTAATTATCTCATATCATCCTCCAAATCTCCCTGTAAGATAGGTATTATCTACATTTTATAGTTGAAGAAATAGAGACTCAGAGATACGGAGTAATTTGCCCAGGGTCATGGAGTGTTGGAGTCTTAACTTAAATAAAGGACCTCATGCTCCAGAGCCTCATGCTGCTTCTTCAACAGCCAAACATTGGAGACTGAAGCTTATGTAATTATAACATATCAGCCACCTAATTAATTTCAGTCACTTTAGTTCTTTCCATAAAACTGTGTGCATAGCTGGAAGGCAACAAGAATGGGCTGGCCCGCCCTGGCCGGTTTGGCTCAGTGGTTAGAGCGTCGGCCTGCGGTCCGGAGAGACCCGGGTTCGGTTCCCGCTAAGGGCACGTACTTCGGTTGCAGTTTGTCCCCGGCCCTGGTTGGTCGTGCGGGTGGCAGCCACTCGATGTGTCCCTTCACGTCGATGTTTCTCTCTCTCTCTCCCTTCCTCTCTCTCCCTCCCACTCTATCTGTACAAAAAATGGAAAAATATCCTCGGGTGAGGATAAAAAAAAAAAAAAAGGGCTGGCCCTATCCAAAAGCCCCATCCTCTTGTCAGTCGTAGGATTAATGCTGTTCTTGTAGTGTTATGATGGTGCCCTGCCGGTACCCTGTCTTAGTTCTGCCAAGTTCTAGAGATGCTCTGAATTGCATTCAAGAGCAGCTAAATAAAGTTCCTTGGGATACCCAGAGACAGGAAGTCTCAGTCATCACTCTTGGACATGAATAGGTGAGGTTCTTGTGGAAAGACTCAAGAGCCTTAAAAATGGTTCGCACCCTTTGACCTACTGATCACGCTGAGAGGTGTTCATCCAAAAAGCTTTTGCTACAGTGACACTCCTCACAGTGTCGTTTGTACTAACAGAGTTGAAAATACCCCAAACATCTGATAACAGTGGAATAATTATGTGAACTTTCAGTTTCTCTCTCCTCCTCTCTCTGCCCCTGGCTGATAGAATGCTGTGTAGCCACATAAATGATCATTGTAAAGACTGATATAAAATGAAAAAAATAATTTTTATATAATTTGCAGTAGACAGAACAAGATACACAATGGTTTACATAATATTGTTACATCCTAAATTAGGACTTGACACATTGAGTCATGCAGTACATTTTTGGCAAATGAAAGAATGATCTTCACTGGCATGAATCTTGCTATACAGAGAAAAGGAAATATACCAAAAGTTAACATGGTTGCTTTTATGTGGTGGGATTAAGAGTAAGTTTTATTCTGTGGTTTCTACTTTCATTTTTGTCCCCATATTTTCTATAGTGATTACAAAGGCCTTACTGGAAAAAATAACTTCATTAAATTTTTGTACTAGAATAAAAAAATAGGTTTAGATTGGGTACTTGCTGTGGGCCAGGCACTCTGTTAAGGACTTTACTTAGGTAATGTTCCTAACTTTCCCAAAATTCTTTAGAGTGAATATTATTCTCCCCATTGTATAGATGAGAACACTGAAGCTTATAGAGGTTAAGTTACTTACTCAGGTTCATGTAAATAGCTGAGCCAGGACTAAAATCTAGGTCTGATTCTAATTTCTGTTATCTTCATACTCATTATTCTGTCAGCTTGATTTCTAGATGAAAATTTTTTCAGAGCCTTTTGCCATTTGTAGCAAAGTTGAGGTTATAGAAGCTTGTCTTTATATATTTGTCTTTATTGATTTTATAGAGAGAGGAAAGGAGAGGGAGATAGAGATAGAAACATTGATGAGAGAACATTGATTGGCTGCCTCCTGCATGACCCCCACTGGGGATTGGCCCGCAACCTGGGCATATGCCCTGACCAGGAATTGAACTGGCAACCCCTTGGTGCATGGGTTGACGCTCAACCACTGAGCTACACCGGCCAGGCCAACAGCTTGTCTATAAATTAAAAGTATAGCATTTCCAGTGTGGGTAAGGTCTTTGATGCTCTTATATTCTAATTGATTTCAGAATTTGGTGATGTAGCCACTTCTCTAGCAGCAAACCCAGATGCCACCACGATAAGCATCGAGGATCCTGGTGAAACTCCTAAATATCAGCCAGGACCCCCAAGAGGCTCTGGAAGAGAAGAGGATGATGAGTTATTGGGAAATGATGACTCTGACAAAACTGAGGTTTGCACTTTCTTTGAAATGTCTTTTTTTTTTTTTTTAATTTTGAAAAAACTTGTTCATGCATTTATTCATTATATCCTGTGTGCCAGGTAGAGTGCCAACAGTGTAGCATCACACGTGGTCTCTGCCTTAGGGGGATAAACAGATAGGCAGACAGACCATTGTCATCCATGGGAATCACACTGGATGGGGGAGCAGAGAGAAGGGTTATAGAAGGCTTCCTGTAGGTGTTGACACTTAACTGAGTCTTGATAAAAGAGTAAGTGGTAGACAGGGGAAGAAGGCAGGGAAGGGTGTTCTAGGCAGTACTTTCAGCAGAGTCACAGGCATGAAGAAACACGATACAGCACATCTCCCATTTTCACATACATTGGGGACAAAATACAGGTGAAGACAGGAGATGAGACTACACAGATAGGCAAGGACTCAACCCAATGAATATGAATATTCTGTAAACTATCAGGAGCTATTAAAAGATTTTAAACACTATGGACAGATATGTTTAAAGATATTCAAGATATGGTGTCTGTGGAATATAGATTGGAGGGAAATGGACCGGAGGCCAGAAGACCAGGTAGGAGACCGTTGAAGTGGTCTAGACTAGAAGTGATGAAGCCTGAACTAGAGTTGGACACACATGTTTAGGGGGTGGGCTCAGTAGGACTTGGTGGCAAAGGGGTGAGAGCAAGAGAGGGAGGATTCCAAGAAGACTTCTAAGTTTTTGCACCAGGTTGGATGGTGACTGTTAGGTGGCTTTTTTGATCACTAAGATTTATTTCCATGTGCACAGTTGTGTTCCAGGAAAATAACTTCTAGTAATATTCTGTAAATAGAATCATGATTATATCACACTAGGGGAGCACTCGGTTCATAGCAATGTGTTCCATCCAGGTTTATTAAAATAGTGGAGCTCTTGGGTGCCAGATGCTCTTTGTGAAACTCCAGGAAATATCAAAATAAGTACTGAAGTTTATTCTAAATCAAACACTATTATATACTAGATACTGTGAAAAGAACTGAGACTTAGGAGCCTAACTTTGAATGGTGTTCTGGGTCCATAGTAATAGCTATGTGCTCTTGAGTAAGGGACTTGAACTTCCTTAAGCCTAGGTTTCCTCATCTGAAATATAAGAAGAGAGTATGTTGACTATCGTCATTATCACCACAATAGTTAATATTTATTCAGTGTTTATTAGCTGCCAGATACCATTTAAAGGCCTTAACTTGGATCACCTTGTTTAATCCTCAAAATAACCCTGAATGCCAGGAACTATTCTTATCCTCACTTTACCAATGAGAAACCTGAGACACAGAATTTAAGTAACTTGCCCCAGTACACACACTGGAAGATAGTAGATGGAACTTCACACTGAGGCAGTCGGAGTCCAGAGCCAGTGCTCCTCCCTGTACTGGACTTAGTGTACGTTAAGTGCTTATTAAAGTGGTTGGTACCCTCAGGAGATAGGAGTGATTAATTATTAGTATAGTTAATGGTATTGCCTGGCCGGTGTGGCTAAGTGGTTGAGCATCGACCCATGCACCAAGAGGTCACCTGTTCGATTCCTGGTCAGGGTTCATGCCCAGGTTGTGGGCCCAATCCCCGGGGGGGTGGGCAGGAGGTGGCCAATCAATGTTCTCTCTCATATCAATGTTTCTATCTCTCTCCCTCTCCCTTCCTCTTTCTCTAAAATCAATAAAGAAAAAAAATGTACTAGTCGAGGTTCTCCAGAGAAAAAGAACCAGTAGGATGTGTATATATAGAAAATGAAACTTATTTTAAAGAATCGGTTCACATGATTGTGGATGCTTGGTAAGTCCAAAATCTGGTGGAGGAGGCTGGTAGGCTGGAGACTCAGGAAGAAGTTGGAATTTGAGTCCTAAAGCATTCTGCTATAGAACCAGGAAGAACTGATGTTTCAGGTGAAGTCTGAAGGCACCCTACCAGAGAATTCTCTCTCACTGAGGAGGTCGGCTTTTTGTTCAATTCAGGCCTTCACCTGATTGGCTGAGGTCCACCCACATATTGGAGGGCAATTTGCTTTACTCAGAAAGTCCACTGATTTAAATGTAAGTCTTATTAAAAAAACACCCTCTTAGAAACATCCAGAATAATGTTTGACCAAATATCTGGGCACCATGGCCCAGACAAATTGATACATATAATTTATCATCGCACTGAGCAACAGCAGGTTTCAAAAGTTTAAGAAATGTAAGGGGGGGGGGGAATCTTTTTTTTTTTTTTAAGTGAAAGAGACCATAGATTTTTATTTTTGTTTATTTATTTATTTTTTTGGTACGTGCCCCTAGCAGGAACCGAACCTGGGACTCTATGGTCCACAGGCTGACACTCCACCCACTGAGCCAAACCAGCCAGGGCAGGGTGGGGGATCTTAAGATTGAAAACATTCTATCCATTATTTTAATGTTGTCTGTGTATTGGGAAGAGGTTCTTTGGCCTAGCTTATAGAACATGGCTCTAAGGTGTTTCATATCTTGTAATATTAGGTTTAGGAAAGAACCTTCAATTTCCTCTATTTTAGTTTCCCTTTCAAGATATTAATGCTGTTCAAGGTATGTCAGAAAGGCAACACATGAATACCTCCAGGAACAGGCTGTTAATCTCCATGTAGAGCAGCCACTGCCACTGTTGGGCAACTTGAATTGTGAACTTTTTTTTTTTTAATCCTCATCCGAGGACATTTTTCCATTTTTGTTGTTGTTGTTTTTCAGATTGAGTGGGAGGGGGAGAGAGAAAGAGAAACATCAACGTTAAAGGGATACATCGAGTGGTTGCCACCCGCATGACCAACCAGGGCCGAGGACAAACTGCAACCGAGGTACGTGCCCCTAGCGGGAATCAAACCCGGGTCTCTCTGGACCGCAGGTCGATGCTCTAACCGCTGAGCCAAACCAGCCAGGGCGAATTGTGAACATTTTTTTGCCTTTATAACGAACAAAAAAATATTTGCCCAGAGCCCTGGCCAGTTTGGCTCAGCGGTTAGAGCGTCGCCCTGCGGTCTGGAGAGACCCGGGTTCGGTTCCCGCAAGGGGCACGTACTTCGGTTGCAGTTTGTCCCCAGCCCTGGTTGGTCGTGCGGGTGGCAGCCGCTCGATGTGTCCCTTCACATCGATGTTTCTCTCTCTCTCCCTTCCTCTCTCTCCCTCCCACTCTATCTGTACAAAAAATAGAAAAATATCCTCGGGTGAGGATAAAAAAAAAAAAAAAATTTGCCCAGAGTACCTTCCCTGTCTTTCAAAGTTCCTCAGTCTTTCTTTTCCTCTTGCTGTATGAATCCTCTTCAAATGACTGAAGGTGGCAGTCATGATTCCTGGCATGTGACCTGCATTCTGCTGTCAGATACCTGTGCTGCTGGGACAAGTATAGCCCTCCATGGGAGCCTCTTCTAAATTGGAATTTTGTTTCTTTTTGTTGTTGTTAATGCTCACCCAAAGATATTTTTTTCATTGATTTTTAGAGAGTGGAAGGGAGGAAGGGGGGTGGAGAGAGAGAGAGAGAGAAACATCGATGTGAGAGAGACACATAGATTGGTTGCCTCCCACATGCTCCCCGACTGGAGCTGAGGATCGAACCTGCAACCCAGGTAAGTGCCTTGAACGGGAATTGAATCCTCAACCTTTCTGTGGGTGGGTCAGTGCTCTAACCCCTGGGCCACACTGGCTGGGGTGGAATTTTGTTTTTTTGTCAGGGGGATATATTTTAAGTTTCTAGTACTTTAGAGTGAATCAGTATATCAAATTTTTGAGAATTCAGGTGGTACAGTAGTAAGGATCTTGAGGGGTGAGGGAAGAAAAGATATTTACACTGATTGCCTTCTATATGTATGTGTATATGTTTATATGTTATTGTACACAATACATATATTATTTATAATTAATCAAATCCTACCTATAATCCTGTGAAGATTAATATAATCTATATGATCTATATATCTATTAATATAGTCTATCTAGGAGGTAGATCTTGTTAGCACTATTTTTAGGTAAGAGATCTAAGACTGAGAGGAGTCTAGTGATTTGACAAAGCTGCCCCTAGTGGAGGGACCAGGATTTGAAGCCTTTTGGTGTGACTTCAAAACCCATGCTTGTTTTATATCAGGCTGAGAGTTGGACATGGCTATTACAAAGTTGATTGATGGATGCAGAAGAGTTCGGTCTTTTGTACATCTTGGTTTTACATTAGATCAAATCCCTTTCTGTGTGTGTATCTGGAATAAGAAATCACTTGTGTTCATTATGTTTTATTTTACTGCTGACAGTTACTTGCTGGACAGAAGAAAAGCTCCCCTTTCTGGACATTTGAATACTATCAAACATTTTTCGATGTAGACACTTACCAGGTGTGTAAAGCAGTTTCACCTTTCCTTTTACATGTAATGGAGACTTGTTTCTTCTATGGTTAAGCAGTGAAATAATGTGAAAGCTTTTGTATACTGGGCAGGATCTTACAAAAGTAAAAGGGTTACTAGTATTTGAAAATGCTACCATCTTAAAGCTCTAGTAACTGAGTTTCAATTTTGCAGCAGTTGAATTTATTAATCTTAAATCTTTTGTAGACTTATTGCTGTGTTATTTTCCAGGTCTTTGACAGAATAAAAGGGTCTCTTTTGCCAATACCAGGAAAAAACTTTGTGAGGTTATATATCCGCAGCAATCCAGATCTCTATGGTATGTGTAGTGCCGTTTTGATTCTTTACCATGTGCCTGTTGAACTCAGGTGAGTGTGCGGGTTACCTGCAAAGGTGGAGAAGTGCACTGTTGGCTGGGCGAGCAGCATTTTATTTGACTTTTCTGAGCTTCAGTAGCAATCCTTACAAAGAATTTAAAATGCAATTATCTGTTACATTAATGCTATGATTATAAGTAATAGTATGTCCTTTGGAAGTCTTCAAATGACATCACAGATGAGACAAATTTACTTTGTCTTAGAGGAGATTGTTGATTTTAATTTTAGAGGAATTGGTTTGGGGTGGTGAGGAGTGTGGAGAAGAACTCTTAACATTTTTTTATTGCGTCCCAGCTTTGCCTCCAGACAGGCTGGCTTTCCGTGGGACTCAGGCAGCAGCACTGGAAGTCTGTAAGAGGGAGGGACCAGGAGATGACTGTCATCCTGAGTGTCCCTGCCATTTGAGAAAGATCAGAGGTCCGCCCGGTGTTCTGCGGGAAGGGGCTCCAACATCAGTGGGTTTCTGTGTTCAAGGGGATAAGAGCACATGCGTGTTTTCATGCGCAGGTGCCCTATGAAAGACTTTGTGTACATGGCCATATTTAATTCTTGCAACAGCCTTCAGGGTAGGTATTGTTTCCCCAGTTTTCAAAAGAGGAAGCTGATGCTCAGTGAGGCTTAGTAATATATATGTTCAATCCTAAACAATAAATGTTAGAGTGATTCTATATGTTGGTTATAAGAGGAAAAGGAACTCATGAGAAATTTCTGGGTGTCACTTAATACTTACTGATCAATCCTTACAAGACTATATAGTAAGTGCTATTAGCCCTGTTTTCTCTGTGAGGAAACTAAGGCTGAGAGTTGTTAGACTGAAAAAGTAGAACTAGAACCTAGTTCAGTGTTATGTAAAGCCCACATTTACTCTATTAGAGTGGAGATTTACACTACAGAACCTTTTCATCAAATGGCATAGATGTCCAATATTTAAAACCAATGAAAGTGTAACTGCTCTGGAGGCTGAGGTTCAGCCCCCTTCTGTCAGCTCCTGCTGTCTGTGACAGTACCAGAAGTTCCATCCAGAGATCTGTGGAGTTCCTGGAGCTCTAGTGAACGTGGTGTGAAAACCATTGCCTTGGCCCATGCCCCTCATCCAAGAGTTGCCAGGTAGTTTCTCTTTAGCTCTCATTCATTCTTCTAGCCTGAGAACTTCTTGAGATGCAGGCTCTGTGTCTGAGTAACCCATGTTATCAGTGCCCAGCAGAGGGCTTGGCACAGAGTAAGTGCTCAGACAATTTGTGAGCACCTCATTTTGTGCTAGAGACTGAGGATTCAAAGTCATAGTCTCCACCCCCAAGGAGGAAGAAGAGAGAACTAATATGTTGAGCACCCTACTAGTGCCAAGCATGGAGCTCAGTGCTATTTTATCCTATTTATTTCCCACACTCCAAGGTAGCCTTATCAAAAGAGAAAAAATGAGGTTTGTTTTACCATTCTTTATGCTTTTCTGGATGTTAGAAGTATTTCATGATATAAAAATGCATACTACAGCCCTGGCTGGTTTGGCTTAGCAGTTAGAGCGTTGGCCTGCGGACCAATGAGTCATGGGTCCAATTCTGGTCAAGGGCATGTACCTCGGTTGTGGTTTGTTCCAGGCCCTGGTTGGGGTTGTACGGGGTGGGGCAACCAGTTGATGTGTCCCTCTCCCATCGATGTTTATTTCTCTTTCCCTCCCTCCATCCCACTCTATCTGAAGAAAAATGGAAAAATATCCTCCGAAGAGGATTAAAAAAAAAAAAGACTACTACAAACTAAATTAAGGCTCCCTCCTACCCTATCTCATAATAAGGGTAGGAATTTGGCAGGAAGGAGGAAGAGAGAAGGCAGTATGAAGTAGTGTGCAAGCCTGGGATTGAACAAGTGAGTGTGTGTCTCTGGAGCCCAAGCTTCCTGTGTGCCTGAGTGCACTAGAGGCAGTGACTGTGTCTGCTGCACATTGTTGTGTCCCCAGCACTTAGTACAGTGTCTAAAGGCTTATAGAAGACAGTGTTCTCTCCTTTCTAGCTATGGGTACTGTAATATTGTGGCCACTTGTGGTCATGTGCTTGGATGGTCTATACCCATCAACAACACATGGTCAGTTTTGTTCATTTGTTCTACAAAGCTTTTGGGAATATTTTTGTTTTGTTAATCCTCACCCAAGGTATTTTTTCCATTGATTTTTAGAGAGAGTGGAAGGGAGGGAGGGAGAAAGAGAGAGAGAGAAAGAGAAAGAGAAACATCAATGTGAGAGAAACACATTGATTGGTTGCCTCCTGCATGCGCTGTGACTGGGGCCAGGGATCGAACCTGCATCCCAGGTACATGCCCTTAACCGGGAATCAAACTGGAGACCCTTTGGTCCAAGGGCCGACACTCTAACCCCTGAGCCAAATCAGCTGTTGTAGGGTTTTGTTTTGTTTTTAAGTCTGTTTGTTTGTTGCATCTTTAAGGTGCTAGGCTTTCAGAATAATAAAGTGAACAAGACTTAGTTCTTGGCTACAACAGAGAGCTTGCAGGCTAGTGAGTGAACAGCTGATGGTGGCTTTAGAGCACCCAATGGAATGTTTGCGCTCTTTCCCACCTTCGGGATCCAGTGTGGCTTTGAAAAGTGCTAATCCATGGCTGCTAATCATCTCTCCCTATATAATAATTCTCTTAATTTTATGATATGTCAAGGTGCCTGCAATTATCCCAAAAGGTATTACAAAATATTAGTGAACTGAAACTGAAATTCATAAAATTTATCAAACTCTCTAGATTTAAAATTTTATTTGTTCTAATAGTACCTTTTCTGGATGGGGAGAAACAAGGATGGTATTTGTGAAATCAAGAGAAGTGATAAAGGGGATTTGCAAAGCATGGTGTACCATCCATTCAGTGGAATGTTTTATCAAATCGCTAAAAAAGAATAAAGCTGATTTTTATGAATAGCCATGGTAGAATCTGCAGGATATATTAAGGTGAAAATACATATGTGTGTTACCATTTTTATAAAACATGCTTGCAAGCACACACATATACATATATGCATTTTCTTATATGTGTATTGAAATCTCTGGCAGGATTTACCAGAAGCTGGTTACAGTAGTGAGGTCTGGGAGATGAAATAGAAAGCTAGAGAGCAGAGAGAGAAGAAAGTTTACTTTTCTTCATATTCCCTTTTGTACCTTTTGAACACTGAACTATGTGCATGTATTACTTTTTTTTTTTTAATAATTTTTTTTCCCTTTATTGATTTCAGAGAGAGAAGAAGGGAGAGGGAGAGAGAGATAGAAACATCGATGACAGAGAACATTGATTGGCCGCCTCCTGTATGCACCCTACTGGGAATTGGGCCCACAACCTGGGCATGTGTCCTGACTGGGAATCGAACCAGCAACCTCTTGGTGCATGGGTCGATGCATCAACCACTGAACCACACCGGCCGGACAGCATGTATTACTTTTATTAAAAAGAAAGAGCCTGGCCGGTGTGGCTCAGTGGTTGAGCGTTGATCCATACACCAAGAGATCGCCAGTTCGATTCCCGGGCAGGGCACATGCCCAGGTTGAGGGCCCAATACCCAGTGGGGGGAATGCAGGAGATGGCCAGTTGATGTTGTCTCTCATTGATGTTTCTATCTCTCCCTTCCTCTGCCTTCCTCTCTCTCTCTCAAAAATCAATAAAGAAAAAAAAAATAAAGAAAAAAATAAAGCCTTAAACACACACATATATACCCACAGTGAACTGGTAGATTACATTAACTTTTCTCTAAAGCATTCTGTTTGCCCTGCTCTTCCATTTAGATTGCAGAAGGACCTGTCTGGCTTATTGGTTTTTTTTTCTGGCACTAATATTTGGCATTTAGATAAGGAAAGTAACTTATTTCTTGTATCCTGATGGTAAAGGTTTAACACAATGTCCATAAAATTGGTGTTTTGTTTTTTTTTTATTCTCCAATAAAAGAAGCTATAAACAAATCAGTGTCATTATTCATCTAATTATGGGAGGTGTTTTGGCTTTTGCATTCCAATCCCCCCCCCTGTGTTTAAGGCAACTAATTATTGAGTTCTGTGTTTGACCTTTTAAAAAAGAAAATCCCCATTAAACGAGTATTGAATGCATCTAAAAATCATTGTCCCCTGCTTACATGAATAGGGTGAGGGAGATAAGAAAATATTCTTTAAGAGTCTAAAGGCTGGTGCTTCATTTTCTTGTCTCTGAATTTTCTGGTTTCCTTTGCAGGCCCCTTTTGGATATGCGCCACATTGGTTTTTGCCATAGCAATTAGTGGGAACCTTTCCAACTTCTTAATCCATTTGGGAGAGAAGACATACCATTATGTACCTGAATTCCGAAAAGGTTGGTGAATAGCTTGACTCATTTGAAATGCTGTCAGTTTGTAACCATGGGTTCTTTTTACCCACTGAGCTCTCGGGCCTCCAGAGCACCTCCTGCTTTCTGTATTTCAGGGTTCAAACATACCTAATGTCTCAGAATTTACCACCCATCTGTATAAATCCACATACATGTTTTAAATTGTGGTAAAATATATGTAACATAAAATTTACTGTATTAGCCATTTTTAATTGTACAATTCAGTGGTAATAAGTATAGTCACAATATTGTGAATTCACATAATCTTCTGGAAAACAAAGGGAATACCAATAGCAATTGGAATTTATTTAAGGAAAAATGTACCAGATAAGCAAAAAGCAATGTGCATGAAAGTTTCCATTGTAGCATTATTTGTGTTATCCAAATGTTGGAAACAATAGGGACATTGTTATTTAAGTCATGATGACTCAACTAGCTAGGTCTGTAGCCACTAATTATGAAGCTGTAGAGCAAGGAAGACTGATCATCCAAACTATGCTTATGCTGTTAGCAACTTGGTTCAAGAGAAGTCTGGAGCCCTGGCTGGTTTGGCTCAGCGGTTGGATCTTCGGCCCGCAGACCAATGAGTCCCAGGTTCAATTCCAGTCAAGGGCATGTACCTTGGTTGCGATTCGTCCTTGGCTCTGGTTGGGATCATGTGGGAGGCAACCACTCGATGTGTCCCTTTCACGTCAATGTTTCTTTCTCTCTCTCTCTTCTTCTCTCCCCCTCCCACTCTATCTGAACAAAAAAATGGAAAAATGTCCTCGGGTGAGGATAAAAAAAAAGAAATCTGCATTTCATGTCTAGAAGGGAAAATGCAGAAATGAGTGTGTCCTAGTGATGGGCTTGTGGATGACATTCCTGTTCTAAAACTTCCTTTCTTGTGGTAGTATTGGATAATTAAAAACAAAAACCAGCTTTTAGGGACTTGCAGATGAAAGCCACTTCAAAATGAGAAAGTTTGGCTTTGTAGGAAATTGACCCATGCCACTTTCTCAATTTTCTCCTTCTCTCCCTGCTTGTCTGCTCCCCTGTTGAAAGGTTATATATAGACTGTACAAAAGCATGGTCTTTGGAACCAGGGTACTGGCTTCAAGTTCCAGCCCCACCACTCTTTAACTTCTACCTTGTTGGGCAGGTTATTTCATCTCTCCTGGCCTCAGATTGCTTATCAGTGAAATGGAAATAATATCTATATTATAGGGCTATTGTATGAATAAAGAGTTGATATATGTGAAGCAGTATACATATATATGAACAGATACATATGTATACACACACATATATATGTATATAGAGGTATGTATTTACCTGTGTGTATATGTGTGTCAGTGTGTAGCCTTCCTTCTTCCTTCTCTACCCTCCTTGCCCATTGTCCCTTCTCTTTCCTTCTCCATCATGGAGTCAGACTTACATTCAGTGCTAACTCCATTTGTCAAATGACCTTGGTTAGAGTCTAACTCAATAAATGTTATCCATGAGATACAGACCCTGCCTTCAGGTAGCACCAATGGTTAAGCAAAGAAAGACAGGTAAATGCCCTGGCCGGTTTGGTTCAGCGGTTGGAGCATCGGCCTGCGGACTAGAGAGTCCCGGTTCAGTTCCCGCTAGGGGCATGTACCAAAAAAAAAAAGAAAGAAAGACAGGTAAATGCATATTGCTGTAAATAGTATGTATTAATTTCTGTATCCAAGGTAGGTGTAAGTATATTGACAGAAAAGGAGTGAATCACCCTACCTGAGGGTCTGGAAGCTCAGGAGGGTCTTTATCTGTTCTTATCCTCTTTGGCTAGGCATCCCAGTATTATCAGGGAGTCATGGGATGTATGTACCAGTAAAATAGCCATTGCCTCTATCAATAAACAGTTTTCCATTTTATGTACAGAGTATAAGTCACACATCCAAGGTCAGATCCTGCTTCCACCACTTATTTAACCTTGACCATTGAGCTTCTCTGATCCAGTTTCCTTATCTCCAAAAGGAAGATATAGAATATATTTAATAATGTGTTTACATGTCTGTTAACAATATCAATAGCTAATTATTGGTTATTTATTATGTATCAATCAGTGTTCCAGCTATACCTGTTTGTACTCATTTAATTCTAATAATCTTATAACGTATTATACTATTATTCCATTTTATAGATGAGGAAACTGAGGCAGGATGGTTAAGTAACTTCTACTTCCGGTTACTTAGCTGTAAGTGGCATAGCTAGGATTAGAATCCATGGAGTTTGCATCCAGAGTCTATCCCTTTTACTATTACACAATGTTGCCTCTTGATAAAGCAGTGTAATGCCTGATACCCAGTGGCTAACTGTAGCCATAATAGTAATTCTTTTCCTCTTCCATTAGTTATCCAAGAAAAAAGCAGTATGTCAGCAAAATACATTTGGCTTAATCAGGTAGTTTCCAATGCGAAAAAGCTGCTCTGGGAGCTAACTATGTTTTGAACAATCACATGTCTTAACCAGAGCCTGACTCTAGTTGCTAGGGTGCCTTTGTTCTTGCCAAAAGTGATAAGTGAATTACCTGCTGATTTTCATATAGGAAGGGCTGATGCCATGTACTTAGCCACGCTTTATGATCCTCCACTTCAGAAGAGGGAGAACGAGTCCTCTAGGGTGGTTGCTGCCAGAGGAGGAGGGAGGTACAGTAATATACTGAACATTGCTGTCCTGAGGAGCAGCTGAATGGCTTTTCCACTGCAGAGACAGAATTATTTAAAGAAGGAAGTGAAACTGGAGAATATTTCAAGCAATTCATCAGTGAGCTGGAACTCCCCATTTTAGAGACAGAAGGAACCCTAAATAGCATGCAGAGCAAGTTAATCTGTACCCAGGGCATTTTAATAAATTTGCTAAAGAAATCAGTGTCAGCTCTTGTTATACTAGGAAAGAGGACGTGTTCTTCCAAGGGGATAGTTGGCTTTTATTTGATTGAAATGCTCAGTATATTTAAACACTTGTAGTCTGGCCCTCCGAAGTATTTCAGTTGCATAATTCAGTTTTTAATAACTAATTTAATAATATTAGTTGTTAGTTATTAAACAAGTTTAAAAAAACATATGAGAGACTACTGGTCATCACCACAATGACAAATGCTAAAGATTCATCAGTTCAGCACATTCATAGAGTGCCTACTATGTGTCAGATACTGTGCCAGACTCACAGTCTATGAAGATGAGCGAGACACAATCCCATGGTCCAGTGAAGTAGAGGGACGTGTTAGGAAATAGGTCCAGTAAGGTATTGGAAGTGCTCTGATAGTGCATTAAAGGCTGATGGGTTCTAAAACTGTGTGCTGTCATCCTCAGTGTCTATAGCAGCCACAATCATCTATGCCTATGCCTGGCTGGTTCCTCTTGCACTCTGGGGTTTCCTCCTGTGGAGAAACAGCAAAGTTATGAACATCGTTTCCTATTCATTTTTGGAGATTGTGTGCGTCTATGGATATTCACTCTTCATTTATATCCCTACAGCAGTAAGTACCACACTTATTCTGAGTGATGTCCTGATCTTGGTTGAAAATTCAACCAGCATCAATATTTCTAGCCTAACACTGATGTGCACCTGAAAAATACCCTGTGAATTCCATGGAACAGACTGACAGATCTCAGAGGGAAGGGGGGCGGGGTGGAGGTGGGAAGAGATTAACCAGAGAACTTATATGCATATATGCATAGCCCATGGATACAAACAGTAGTTGGTGAAGGTCTGGGGTGGTGGGGGCTGGACGGAGGGGGGAAAGAGGGGAAAATGGGAGACCTGTGTAATACTGTCAACAATAAAATAAATAAATAAAAATACCCTGTGAATTTATTGTTTGTTTATTTTTTATTGTTGACAGTATTACAGATTTCCCCCTTTTTTCTCCATTGACCCCCTCCTTCCTGCTCCCACCCCCTCTCAGCCTAATGTCTGTGTCGATTGATTGTGCATATTACCCTGTGCATTTAGAAGTTCAACATGAATGGGGGCTGGAGAGCCAAGTGCCTTCACAGGACCTAAAGCTCTTCACTATGAAAGCTTTCCCTTCAGTCTGCATGTTGGTTGCTGGTGGTGTTTCTCCAGGATGTGCTGAGAAACCAGAGAGGCAGTGGGGGCCCAATGCTGACTGGCTCATGGGCTTTTATAAACATATGTGCCTGGAATGAACAAATGCCTCTCTGAACTGCCTCTCAAATCCCCTCCCCTCCCTCTCTTCTTTCAGATACTGTGGATTATCCCCCAGAAAGCTGTTCGTTGGATTCTAGTCATGATGGCCCTGGGCATCTCAGGCTCTGTCTTGGCAATGACATTTTGGCCAGCTGTTCGTGAGGATAACCGGCGAATCGCATTGGCCACGATCGTGACAATTGTGTTGCTTCACATGCTGCTTTCTGTGGGCTGCTTGGTACAGTCTCATTCCTGTGTTCTTACAGTATGCTTTAAATGCAAATACTTAAAGGCCTCAAACTGTTAGACTTGGTAGTTCTTTAAAAGCTGGCTCCATGAAATAAATATTTTTTTAGATAGACTCTTCTGGATGAGAAGTGATAAAGTCATGAGGACTTTTTTTTTAATCCTCACTTGAGGATGTTTTAATGATTTTTGAGAGACAGGAAGGGAGAGAGAGAGAGAAACAAACATTGATGTGAGAGAAACATCACTGGTTGTCTCACATACATGCCCCAATCAGCCAATCAGTGATGTTGAACCCACAACCTAGCTAGGTAGGTACCCTGACCGAGAATTAAACCCATAACCTTTTGGTGCATAGGACAGCGTTTCAACCAACTGAGCTACCCAGCCAGTGCAAAGTCATGAGGATTTGATTGTAATCTCCAGCTTTACCTAATTTCTAATGTTTGATTAAGACTTGATATCTGGTCCTGGCCGGTTTGGTTCAGCGGTTAGAGTGTTGGCCCACAGACCAATGAGTCGCTGGTTCGATTCTGGTCAAGGGCATGTCAAGGGTACGTACCTGGTTGTAGTTCTTGTGGGAGGCAACCATTAGATGTGTCTCTCTCAGGTAGAAGTTTCTCTCTCTCTCTCCCTTCTTCCCTCCCTCCCTTGTACCCTCCCACTCTAACAAAAAAATCAATGGAAAAATATCCTCGGATGAGGATTAAACAAACAAACAAAAAACAAAAAAAAAAGATTTGGTGTCTGGCCAGAGGAGGGGGTGTCGATAAAAGTCTATAAATAGGACTGGGAGTTCTGCTTTTGGATGGCTTTGCTGGTTTTCTGCATGTAACTAGAAGGAGTTTTGAAATTTAAAGCTTCATAGGTGGAGAGCTTGAAAATGAAGTCAAATACAGGAAAGGGGAGAGTTATTTTATTTATTTATTTATTTATTTATTTAATCCTCACCTGAGGACATTTTTTCCATTTTTTTTTTTGTTCAGATAGAGTGTGAGGGAGAGAGAGAGAGAGAGAGAAACATCAATGTGAAAGGGACACATCGAGTGGTTGCCACCCGCACGACCCAACCAGGGCCAGGGACAAACTGCAACCGAGGTACGTGCCCTTAGCGGGAACCAAACCCGGGTCTCTCTGGATCACAGGCTGACATTCTAACTGCTGAGCAAAACCGGCCAGGGCGGGAGAGTTGTTTTTAACGTGAACAACATTTCAGTTTTTGAGTTTATGTGTTTAGGTGTCTTTTTAAGGGGAACATGTGCTTTTGAGTCAGACAGGCCCAGATTGAAGATCAGCTCTGTCACTCACTGGCTGTATGAATTCTGAATCTGTAACATGAGTATAATAGGTCTTGCTTCAAAGGATGTTCTGAGGACAAAATAAAATAATACATGTAAAGCACAGAATATAGAACTTATCCCTTAAATGCCCATAAATTAGGTCCCTTTCCTTTGATCCTAAGGAGACGTGGTTTTATATCTTTTGTACACATGGTGCAGAAAAATTGCTGACCATGGCCTTAACAAGGCCTGGCACAGGTTTTTAAAAATCTCCAAGTCCAGGAATGTTAATAAGGTCCCTGAAGAAGGAAAGCACATGCCCACAGGAAGTCGTCCATATAGCACACATCCAGACCCTTGGTCAGATTTTGCAGTTTTGGGAGGAAATATTTCTTTGGCACCATTTGATCTTTAATATTTCTGTGTAGATGACCATGATCTCATTAAGTGTATGAGTAAGATCCCAATACTTTATCATTGAACAAGTTTCATAAAAAGCGTCAAATTCTGAAACACAGATCTGGTTTACACCTACTCTATATGTGCCTACACTTTAAACCCTTGAGACCGAAGACTGTGGGTTTGACTCAGGGCAGAGCAACATGGTTCATTTCTGGCACTTGAATCTCTGGCTGATCTCTTGAAATGCTGCTGTGACCCTCTGTTTGCTGAAGAAGAATGCCCTTTTCATTGTAACTACCTCTCTCACTGGCATCTTCCATCTGTCTTCTGAATTTTTCCTCATTATGTACCTGGTTGAGAAGTTGGTGAGGAGAAAAGGCATTGCCTCGTTTGGTTCTGATGAACAGAGGAGGAGCAAGACAGACTGGGTAATGGAGCTGGGAGGTGTGGTTGAGGTTATTATTTCTATCATTATTAACCCATTTCATCTGGTACCTGTGGCCAGGACCTTTTATCTCCAATGCCTGTTATTCCCTTTTGGGGTAAATGACACTGAAGTTAGGATTTACCTGTGCATCTTGCTACTTAGGAACTTTTATTTCTTATTTATTTAATCCTCACCTGAGGATGTTTTTCCATTTATCTTCAGATAGAATGGGAGGGAGGGAGGGAGGAAGGGGGGAGAGAGAGAGAGAGAGAGAGAAGCATTGATGAGAGAAGGACACATCAACTGGTTGCCTCCGGTACAACTCCTACCAGGGCTGGGGATGAATCACAACCGAGGTATGTGCCCTTGACTGGCATCGGACCTGCAGCTCCTTGTTCCTCGGGCTGACGCTCTAACTGCTGAGCTAAGCCACCAGGGCTACTCAGGTGCTTTTTTTTTTAATCCTCACCCGAGGACATTTTTCCATTTTTTGTTCAGGTAGAGTGGGAGGGAGAGAGAGAAACATCGACGTGAAAGGAACACATCGAGTGGCTGCCACCCGCACAACCAACCAGGGCCCGGAACAAACTGCAACCGAGGTACGTGCCCTTAGCGGGAACCGAACCCGGGTCTCTCAGGACCGCAGGCCGACGCTCTAACCGCTGAGCCAAACCGGCCAGGGCTACTCAGGTGCTTTTACAACGAGAGCACTATAATGAAGTGGAAAGAGGACTGGGCTAGGAACTGCTTAGCACTGTGAGCCCAGGCAAATGACTTAACTCTTAGAACCTTGGTTTCCTCATCTGTCAGCGAGGTCTGTGGGCTTTTGTGAGACTCAATGAAATGGATGTGAAAGTCCTTCATATATTGTGACGGTTTCTTCAGATGTAAAGAAGTTGTTTAAAACTTTTTTTTTCTTTCTTGATATTTGAGAGAGGAAGGGAGAGATAGAAACATCGATGAGAGAGAACATCGATTGGCCACCTTCTGCATGCCCCTCACTGGGGATCAGGCCCACAACCTGGGCATGTGCCCTGACCGGGAATTGAACTGGTGACCTCTTGGTGCATGGGTCATGCTCAACCACTGAGCCACACCGGTTGGGCTGTAAAGAAGTTATTAAAAGAGCCCCGTGTCATCAGAAACCACCAGGGCCACTGCTGCTTATTCCTCCTGAGTGCCCCAGTAAGAGCTGTGCAACATCACACAACTCTAAAGACTGTGCCCTTTTATTGGTGCCTCCACTGAACTTCTTACCCATTATATGCTTGGTTGAGAAGTTGGAGGAGAGGAGGCGGGAGAAAACACATTGCATTGTTGAGTTCTAAGGGACTTGGAGGAGCAACTCAGATTGGATGGTGGAGCAGGGAGGTAACTGCGGGTGTAGGACCTCTTCTTGGAGGGGAGCATCATTTTTCCTCCTCAGGGAAGGGAGCCATCCTATGATCAGGTATGTAGCCAGGGCCTTCGGTGTCTGGGGTTTTGTTCTCCAAACTGAAGATCACCTCCTCCTTTCTCTTCTGAAGGAGCTGTGTAGTGCAAGAGGGCCGAAGCAGAAGTTAGGGGATGGGTTCTAGTCCCAGCTCTATCACTTCCTGCTCTGGTTATTTCCCCTCTCTGGATCCCCCACCTTCGCACTTAGAAAAGGGATCTGTAATAACATCTTTACTGTTGTCAGGATTGAATGATATGTGCAACATGAAAAACAGGACAAGCTGTACAAAGGAAGACATTATTGGAAAGGCAGGGAGAGGAATTGGCAGGGGAGCTAGTTGAGCCAAGGGGCACCAGCTGAATCAGACAGGTTGGCCTTCTCACTCTCCCCTGGGGAGCATGGAGTGTTGTTTTTGCTTTAGTGCAGTGAAGCATATGACAGCCCTGTGCCTGCTGAGGTCCCCTTGGTGCTGCACCTGATCACCATCTCTAAGTTGGTACTGGCACACACCTGGCAAAGATGACTAAGGAAGCAGCAGAGGATGAGTCCTTGGCTGGTATGATTGGAGATGTACGGGCCTACGTTTGAGGTGAGGTGGTCACTGCTAATAGCAGTGGGTCCTGTGCCCTAGTACTGGTGGAACCAATGAATCACAGAATTATTACTTGCCCTAAGAGATCATTTTCCCCCAATCCTTTCATTTTATGGATAAGAAAACTGAGGCCTATATGCCACATATATTTTTAGGAAAAAAAGACGAAAAGGGATAAAAAGGTGTTTTTTATAGCAGGGTACTTTCATGTTTTTGTATTATTTGAATTTGTTACAATATATATTACTTTAAAAATCAGTGGGGAAAAATAAGATTTTTCTTTTAAGAGAGAGTTCCGCAGCATAATCTGTAAAGTTAAATTAAACTATTAAACAGTACCCCAAATAAATATCTTCAGCTCTTAAAAACAAAACTGAGGCCACAGGAGTGGAGTGACTTGTCCAAGTCACAGTGCAAGTTACTAGCAGAGCCTGGTTTAGCACCTGGGCCTCTTGTCTCATTCCATCTGACGAAGGTTTCCTCCAGTAGTGGGAAGAAAAGTATTGTTCCTGCATCACGGGGGTTCCAAGGCTCAGTGTTCCTGCCAGTTAACCTGAAGGCCCAACACTAGCAGCATGGGCCCTGGGCCCCCCTTAAGTTAGGGACTGTTCTTTCCTTGCCTCAGAAAACAGTTGCAGGGAGGAAGACTTTTAAAACTAATAGAATTACTCTGGGAATGTGATAAACTAGAGGGAGTCTGCAGCTACAAACCTTTTTTTTTTTTTTTTTTTGATATGTGCCCCTAGCAGGAACTGAACCCGGGACTCTGGTCCACAGGCCACCGCTCCAACCGCTGAGCCAAACCGGCCAGGGCGTACAGCTAGAAACTTTTTGAAATGGACTATTGCAAAGTTAACTGGAATCTGGGAAAGCTCTAGCATGCCGTGTTGGTGCCCCCTTCTGGCTAGAAGAGAGCAGAGGAGGTGAAATGGTTCTTGACTTGGCTTTTTATCTTTTTACCTTCCTAACACCCTGACTCTGAGGGGGTGTCATGAGTGTGCAGTGGTCCTTGATTTATTAATGATTCACCTTTCCTTTGAACATTCATGTTCAAGGCTAGTGAGACTGGTATTTTCCTATGCTAAACTTGGGATTCTAGACCTTGACACAGGTGAGATCCTCCTTAATGTTTTCTGTCTTCCACCTCCTTCTGATTTTTGACAGTTAAATTGTAGATGGTGAGTGGAAGCATTTACCAGACCTTTCATTTCCAAGCTGAAGAACTGTAAGTTACACCCTGCCTAGTACCTTCTTTAAAGGTCTTTACAGAGAGCCACCTGGTTTAGCAGTGATCTATTGTCGTTCAGTTCATTAAGTGTTGATTGTTTTCATGGTGTGCCAGGCCCTGTGTGAGGGGCTGGTGACATGGAGCAAAGAAGGATACAGTCTTTGGAGGAAAGACTTGAGCTTTGGAGTTAGAAAGACCTTGCTTTCAACCTTGGCTTCACCACCCATTAGCCATATGCACCTGATTGAATGACAGCCCCTCTGACCCTCAGTTTCTTCATCTGTGAAATGAGGATAATAACCTCATAGGGTTGTTACAAAGATTAAGTTATATGTAGTGAATGCTCAGTAAATGGTAGTGAAATTTTAAAAGGCACTCATGGCCCTGGCCAGTTTTGCTCAGTGGTTAGAGCGTCGGCCCGCAGACCAATCACTCGTGGGTTCAATTCTGGTCAAGGGCGCCTACGTTGGTTTCGGTTCATCTCTGGCCCTGGTGGGGGTCCTACAGGAGGCAACCTGAGTTGATGTGTCCCTTTCAAGTCGATGTTTCTCTCTCTTTCCCTTTCTCTCCCTCTCTCTCACTCTATCTGAAAGATGAATAGAAAAATATCCTTGGGTGAGGATTAAAAAAAAAAGGCACTAACACCCTGGCCTGTTTGGCTCAGCGGTTAGAGCGTCAGTCTGTGGACTAAAGAGTCACAGGTTTGATTCTGATCAAGGGCACATACTTCAGTTGCAGTTTGGTCCCTGGCTCTGGTTGGGGTTGTGCAGGAGGCAATCAATCAATGTCTCTCTCACATCGATCTCTTTCTCTCCCTTTCTCTCTCTCTCTCTCTCTCCCCCTGCCCACCCCCTCTTTACTTGAAGATAAATGAGAAAATATCCTTGGGTGAGGATTTAAAAAAAATTTTAAAGGCACTTACAGTCGAGTGAGACAGAGAAGCAGAGACGGTTGTAGCTCAGAGTGATGACCAATGTGTTACTGGGAAACAAAGGGGCCATGAGAACCCAGAAGTATTATTGGTATGAAGTCTAGAACACTCTGTTTTGCAACTCTCCTTATGCGTCTTCTTTTTCTTCAGGCATACTTTTTTGATGCACCAGAGATGGACCATCTCCCAACAACTGCAGTTATTCCAAACCAAACAGTTGCAGCAGCCAAGTCCAGCTAAGGAGGAAAGTAAGACATTATATATTTACCTTTGTGCTGTGTGGTACAGTAAAAAATGGGCAGGTGCATCAGTTCTGTTACATCAGCATAAAAACAGAGAGGGCCAGACCCTTGAATTGTTTTGCCTAGTTTGGTGTGTGTACACACATGTCCCTCTTGCTGAAGTCTTCAATTGTGAAATCCACATGATCCGGCTTTATAGATTGGGAAATGTAAGCTCTTAGATTCTTCTGGAAGAAAAGCTCCTGCCTTTTGGTCCCAGCCTGCCCTCTCCTCTACTCCCTTTCCTCTTTCCAGCAGTACAATATAGTTTGTTTCATTTGGTTACAGTCCTGGTGGTTTTTTACTAGTTTCCCTGTGACTTCTCAGCCTGGCCTCAGACTCTGAGTGTGACCTCTTTTAAATTGCTCATGGGTTCTCCAAAGCTTACAAGTTCTCATGCCTGATATGTTCTCGGGCCTCTGATGATTCCACTGTCAATGGTTAGCTCAGTGGGTTAGAGTACAGGAAAAATGTCAGTTCCTCTGTGGTCTGTTCCTTGTCTCCCTGTTCTACCTCGTCAGTATTCCAAGGCTGCAGCCATGCTGAACTTCTTGCCATTACCAGACACATCATACCTTTGCACTTGCTGTTCCAGATGTCTGAAACATTCCTTCCCTTCTAGGTCATCACTTACCTTGTTACCCCATTACACCTTGTGTTGTACATCACAGAGGGGGACTTGTTTGAACTGGGTCCTGAAGGTTGAGCAGAAGCAATCAGTTACCCATTGTTCTGAAAAGAGTAATCAGCTTCCCATGACTTTTGGGAAGGTGAAGACAGGCTGTTTATTGGGGCACAGTGATGCCATATCACTGAGAACAAGAAAACCTGAGCCCAGCTGGAGAGGGACAGCGGTAGAGAACACAATGGTGACAGTTGCATGGGTCTCTGCCTTGGCCAGAATACCTGACATCAATCTGGTGAAACCCTGTTGGGGGCTTTCTCAGCCTGCTCCTGAGCTGAGACTTCAGTTTCTTCCTTATATTTTGGTTATGAAGTCTCTAGACCAAGTGTCTCAGGTGCTGTAAACCTTAAAACTCTGAAGTTGGTATCTGAGAAGAGACAGGCCCTGCGGGCCCTTGTAGACCTCCCATCCTGATTTACAGACTTGATACCTCTGCGTTTTGCTCAGATCTATAAACTTGGGTGTCAGTGCCAACATTTGGCTGTCAAGTCTCCAAATGAGATAGTGATGAACAGTTTCTTTGGAGCCTCCCTGGCTGAGCATCAATTGTTTTGCCAGTAAGAGGGGCTGTCCAGAGCTCCAGGCACTGCAGATTTGTGAGCTGGCTGTGCCCTCTACTGTAATCTCTGGATTCCCAGCTTTCACTGAAAAAGTATGGCTTCTAATCTCTCAGATAACCTTCCTCATGTAAAGCTGTGCATTGGAGGGCTTGGTCTAGACTGGATTACTGGGAGAGCATTAACCCCTTTTCTCCTTGAGACCTCATAGGGGAGCCTCCCATTCCTTATAATCAGGGAAGCTACCCTCTATTCAAGTCATTGATGTTAAGAATATCTGGCTTCACCCTGGCCGGTTTGGCTCAGCGGTCGGAGCGTCGGCCTGTGGTCCAGAAAGACCCGGGTTCGGTTCCTGCTAAGGGCACGTACCTCGGTTGCAGTTTGTCCCTGACCCTGGTTGGGTTGTGCGGGTGGCAACCACTTGATGTGTCCCTTTCACATCAATATTTCTCTCTCTCTCCCTCCCACTCTATCTGAACAAAAAAATGGAAAAAGTGTCCTTGAGTGAGGATTAAAAAAAAAAATTAAAAAAAAAAAAAGAATATCTGGCTTCCTTCTTTTCTTTTAAAAAAGTAACATCATGCTCTGGCCGGTTTGGCTCAGCAGTTAGAGCGTCGGCCTGCGGTCCGGAGAGACCTGGGTTCGGTTCCCATTAGGAGCACGTACCTTGGTTACAGTTTGTCCCCATCCCTGGTGGGGTTGTGTGGGTGGCAACCACTCGATGTGTTCCTTTCACATCGATGTTTCTTTCTTTCTCTCTCTCTCTCTCCCACTCTATCTGAACAAAAAATGAAAAAATGTTCTCGGGTGAGGATAGGAAAAAAAAAGTTAAAAAAGTAACATCAGCCCTGGCCAGTTTGGCTCAGCAGTTGAGTGTCGGCCTGTGGACCAGAGAGTCCCAGGTTCGGTTCCCGCTAGGGGCACATACTACACACAAAAAAAAGTAACATCACCTGAGGGGTAGTACCATTTCTTCTCTGAGTCAAAACCCTAGTAAAGCCTGGAAGCTGTACCTAGGAAGTCTAACTTTGGCTTGAGGGGTAGAATATTGAAGGCCCACATCCAGACTGGGGCTGCCTTCCCAGGGGTGATGACAAGTGGGTCTGTCCACAGGAGTGCCCAGCAGGTAATTACACTGCAGTATAAGAGGGCCTTAATCAGAGACGAGAAAAGGGCTTCAGGAGACTCCTTTATAATTAAAACCCTCCTGATCTATACACAAGGTTTATATGCAATTATCCTTTCACTCACTCATGTCAAGAGTGCTTATTTTATAAGCCAAAGCTACACACCTTTTTACTAGGTTTATACACATCAATTCTTTTATTCTGAAATCAGCTTTACCTCGTGCTATAATCCCCTTTAACACAGCATCCGGGCTGCATGGCTTCACACCGGGGCTAAGACTATTCTCTGCCAGCCCCTTTTTCTTTTCCACGGTGTCCGCAACGTCCCTGCTTTCAGTTCCTGGGCTATTTCTTTCTCAGTGTTTTTCTTTGTTCCCTTTTTTTTGAGGTAAATTAGGAAAACCTGGGGTGACAAGTAGGTCAACATAATAACTTTTTATTCTTTTTAAAAAACTTATTTAGTGGAAAATTTTAAACACAGACAAGAGTAGAGTGAATAGTATATTGACTCCCCATTGCTCACCTCCCGCTTTCAGTGGTTGTCAATTCCTGGCCAGTCTCTTTTCACCCATATGCCACCTCTTTCCCCCGTGTTACTTTGAAGCAAATGTAAGACATCCTGTTATTTTATCCATAATATTTAAATTCTGTATCTATAAAAGACATTCTATAAAACATTACCATAATACTATAGTCACATCTAAAAAAGTTATAACTTCTTTATATCAAATGTATTCAGTGTTTGAATTTCATATTGAAGTTGGTTGATATATCTCTTTTTTTTTTTTTTTTATCCTCACCGGAAGACATTTTTCCATTTTTTGTACAGAGTGGGAGGGAGAGAGAGGAAGAGAGAGAGAGGGAAACATCGATGTGAAAGAGACACATCGAGTGGCTGCCACCCGCACGACCAACCAGGGCCGGGGACAAACTGCAACCAAGGTACATGCCCTTAGCGGGAACCGAACCCGGGTCTCTCTGGACTGCAGGTGGACGCTCTAACCGCTGAGCCAAACCGGCCAGGGCTGGTTGATATATCTCTTAAGTATCTTCTAAATATATGTTTTTTTTAAATAATTTTTCTTTATTGATTTTAGAGAGCGAGGAAGGGACAGGGAGAGAGATAGAGACATCGACAACAGAGGACATCGATTGGTGGCCCCCTGCATGCCCCCCACTGAGGATTAGGCCCACAACCTGGGCATGTGCCCTGACTGGGAATCAAATCGGCAACCTCTTGGCGCATGGGTTGATGATCAACCACTGAGCCACACCGGCTGGGCTCTTAAGTATTTTCTAAATTATAGAATCCTACTCCGTCTCCCTTGCTCCCTTTGCCACTTATTTGTTAAAGAATTTTTGTCGTATAGTTTCTCACTATCTGGATTTTGCTGATTGTATCTCCATGGCGTTATCTAACATGTTGTACTATTGTCTTTTTTTTTGCAAATTGGTGGTTGTATCTAAAGATTTGATCAGATTCAGGGTTTGTTATTTCTGAGGGGTGGGGATGGGCAAGACTACTTGACAAGTGCTGTTAAATTCTTCCATCCATAAATTCATAATGACTAATTATCTTTCTTTTTTTGATATTAATGGCCATTAATAAGCAATGCCTAGATCCATTAATTTATTAGGGGCTTCAAAATGGTGATATTGCAATTCTATCTTTCCTTCTTTGTTTACTAACTGGAATACTTCACTTATAAAACTTCCCTTCATTTGATTATCCAATGATAGCATTTATATAAGAAAAGCAATCTGGTGGCAGCAGACAACTTAGATGTTGAAGTTATTTCTCTAAACATAAATAATATGCTTTTCTATCATTTAACTCCTTTCTGTATGAAGGAGTCTTTATCTTGAAAGTTACTCTTTTTTGTTTTTCAGTCCTCTTTTAAGTTTTTTGGAGTGTGGTTCTTTTGGACACCAAAACCAGCAAGAAAACTGATGGAATGGCACCAACCCCTAACATCTGGATGGTGCCACACTGAAGCTTAATTACCTATTTAACAAACAAAAATTAAATGTCATTCAGCACATGTGTCTTTCAGCTCTTCTTTCTCACCTCTCCGTGATCATTGTGACTATGCACTGATTTGTAATGAAACACAAGGGAATGGGTTAGGTGTGCTCAGGTGTCCTGCTATTTGCCTCTCATGGTCAAATGATATGCTTTATGCTAGATACACCCTTAATTCCTGAAATGGATCCGTCCTAACTTCTGATGTCTTTTCTCTGGATTGTGTAGATTTCTTAGGTGATCCTCTTCTCTCCAAATGTTTGCCATCCTAAAGTGGCCAAACTGTGTGAACTTTGGGGTAGGATTCACTGGGCACCTGAAAATTTGTCTTTGGTGAACTGATACTGGACAACTGAAGCTAATGGTTGCAAAATAAATACCTCACATAACATCTGTGTCTACACTTCATAACTTTGACTTCGAATTCTTCCTTGATGTTTTTTTGTCTTGGCACGCTGGAGGCTGCTGTGGTATGGGGGTTAAATTGAACATCTGAATTTTTCCTCCTATAAGTATGGAACAGTGAGTTTAAAGAACATACTCATAACCTTTTTAAAAATTTTTTCCTTTATTGATTTTAGAAAGAGAGGAAGTGAGAGGGAGAGAGAGAGAAACATCAATGAGAGAGAACATCAATTGGCCGCCTCCTGCATGTGCCCTGACTGGGAACCAAACCGGCAACCTCTTGGTGGATGGGTCGATGCTTACCCAGTAAGCCACACTGGCCGGGCACAACTTTTTTTTTAATCCTCACCTGAGGACATGCTTAGAGAGAGGAAGGGGGCGGGGAGAGAGAGAGTAACATCAATGTGAGATAGAAACATTGATCAATTGCCTTCTGCGTGTGCCCTGACCAGTAATCAAACCAGCAACCTTTTGGTGCACAGGACGACATTCAAGCAACTGAGCCACTCTGGCCAGGCATCACTTACAACCTATTTTGATGGTGATTATAGAAATTTCTTTAAGGGCACTTTGATTGCCTCTTCAAGGAGGCATGACTTCCTGGCTAGAGTGCCTTCAAGGGAGAAACCAGTGACACCTCCAAGATATCTTTTAACACTTTATATTCAAAATACACACCATCCAGGAGGCTGAGCTTCTGCCAGGTCAGGATTGCTGATTCCCTACTGTTTTGCTGTTATCTTCAGGACAGAGTTCCCTATGAATTTGTGAGTAGGTTACAAAGGCACATTGGACCTAAAATTCTGACTAGGCACATAAAGGAAGATGCACACAAATTCCAGCTTCAGTGAGTTTAAGGTCACTGTAGCACATCTGTGGACAACATCTGCAACAGAACTGAGTGACAAGATATCACCACAAACCCCAGAATTTAAGTAGGTGGGAACCACTGTCAGTGTGAAAACTTACATGGTATCAGCATTTTTGTGGAAAGAAGTAGAGGGAAGCAACAGGGCATCTGAGTAATCTAAAATAAGAGAACCTCAAAATAGCCAGCAGGTACTCCCTGGAAAGTAATGAGGACCAATAGGAGAACAGCAGCTGGTACTGGGGCAGGGGGCGGGAGTTTTGTGCAACCCAGTTTACAGCTGATGAGTGCACGAGGTCCGAAGTAAGGTCTGAAGAAGCCGGAGCAGTCCAGGTCCTGTGACCTCTCAAAACCAAAGTGTCTTTCCAGGACACCAGAGTGAAAAATGCAGGGAATAGAATACAAGTAGGGTAGGCCAGGGATATCTGGAGCAAAAGAAAGGGAAGTCCAGATGAGAGTGGGGATGGGGAACAGAGCCAGATCTCAGAACATCTGAAGCCGTATTTTTGAACACTTCATGAAAACAGAAAAGGAAGCTATGGAGCCTTGAATTTATCACAGCTATCCTGACTCACCCCTCCCTCCTAAATGTGCAACAAAACTAATTTCATGTGAAAACGAGCAACCAAAAGGATTGTAACCAAATCTCATAATGAAGTTATATAAAAAAATAAGAACAAGGAGCAGAATAACATTCCTAATGAATGAAAGCATTCCAGAAAGATATGTACATAAAGCCAGATAAAAACTATAACAATATTTCAAAATGAGCTAAAGTAAATTAAGGAAATAGTACAAGGTATGAAAGAAAAGCACAAATCAGAATTACAAAGCAGAAATTAGGTAATAAAACTCAGGAAAGAATTGGAAAGAAAAGGGAAAACTAATTTCACTAATGACTAAACTAGAAGGAATATCAGAGAAACATAGTTTTTGCACAATAGATAGTGCCTTAAGGGAATAAAAGTGAAAAGAAGGGAAACATTTTAATTTCAGAATGAGTAAAAAGAAATCAAATAGAAAATAATAAATATAGAAGACAGTCCAAAAAGTTTTAAAGGTATATTATACATGTCCTTGAAGGAAAAAAAAATACAAAAATCTATAATATAATAAAAAATAAAAACTTTCCTGAAAAAAATTAAAAAGACTTGTGACTTCATATAGAAAGAGTATACCTCATACCTAGGGAACTCAACCCAGAAGATCAACACTGAGACATATTCTAATAAAATTAGTGGATTTAAAGAAAAAATATTTGGGGCATCTAGGCTTATAAAGAAAGTCAGATTGTCATCAGACTTTGATAACAGTACTTTATGTTGGAAGACTGTAGAATAACAACGTATCTAAGATACCCAAGGAAAGGAAAATGTGAGCTAAGGATTTTACATCCAGCCAAACTGACTTTCAGGTGCAAATACCACAGACAAAATATTATCAACATGGAAGAACATCAGGAATATTCTGATGAGACCTTTCTGAGGCATCTGCTAGGGAATACACTTTAGACAACTCAACATGGAAGGTGAGACATTGACATAATGGGTAGTAAGCACTAAGTATATATTTAATTTTCTTTTTATTTTTAAATATGCTTTTATTGATTTTAGAGAGAGAGGAAGGGAGAGGGAGAGAGCGATTGAAACAGACTGGCCGCCTCCTGCATGTCCCCTGCTGGGAATCGAACCCACAACCCGGGCATGTGCCCTGACCAGGAATCAAACCAGCGACCACACCATCCAGGCTATATTTATTTTTAGAACTAAGAATAAATGTTGGTTTTAAGGGGAGAATATAGTTTACAGTGGTTGTGTGTGCTTAAAAATACAGTGTAACTTAACAAAAATGGAAGAAGGGAGAACATTTATAAGGCAGAATAAGCTTGCCTATTGCCTTGTAGTTATAAACTAAGAATAAATGAATAGTGCTTCAGCTCTGGCCAGTGTGGCTCAGCAGTTAGAGCATTGGCCCACAGACCAAAGAGTCGAGGGTTTGATTCCTGGCCAAGGGCATGTACCTTGGTTGCCCGTTCGATCCCCAGCCATGATCAGGGTCCTGTGAGAGGCAACCAGTGGCTGTGTCTCTGTCACATCAATGTTTTGCCCTTTCTCTCCCTTCCTTCCTCATACTCTATCTGAAAATCAATGGAAAAATATCCTCAGGTAAGGATTAAATAAATAAAGTATATTGCTTCAAGTCAAATGCTAGAAAGGAAGGGAAGGAGGAAGTTATTAGGTAAGGTCAATGTTGTTCGTTAACAATTGATGATAATTGTGTTCCCCAAAGAGAAGGGTTTAAAGATGTTATATAAAGAAAATAATTCGAAAAATACAAACCTTTTTAAATATTAAAAAAAGGGAGCAAGCAAATAAATAGATCAGACACTGAAAAACGATTTACATAGAAGAGTTGAAATGTTCAAACAGATGTGGGTGTGAATTTCTGTTTCATTTTACCTCTTTTTTTTTTTTTTTTTTTGGTATGTGCCCCTAGCACAAACTGAACCCGGGACTCCCTGGTCCGCAGGCCGAAGCTCAACCGCTGAGCCAAACTGGCCAGAGCTTCATTTTTACCTCTTTATGCTTGGCTTTCTCTGTAAGAGCTTATATATACAATCTGGGAGGGCAAGTGTGAGAATTGAATGTATATGATATGCTTTGCAGTGTCCAAGTTAAAACAAACAAACAAAAACAAAACAAAACAAGATCTCTAGCCTCTCAGCCAGGAAGGGAGGGGCAAAGCTAGAGCTTGAACCCATGATCTGCTCCAGAACTTGCCCTTTCGATACTGTGCTGCTCAAGGCAGGACATATCCACCGAGTGGTGGAATTATAGGAAGAAAGAGAGGTTGAACAGGAAAGGCTTCATGGAATAAATGGCATTTGAAGATGCAGAGTCCAGCTTAAGCTGAGGCAAAAAGGAGAAAAAGCTAGTTGTGTTGGTGAGGAGGTGAGGGGTCTGTTAGCAGATCAATTTTAACTTCTTATACCTGTAGTTATCCTTTGCCCAAGAACAACTTATAAACTAAAAACTGATAACCAGTTCTACAGATGCATTAGTTGAGCGTATGGTTTAGGAGAGTGAGTGTCTAAAGATGGGGCTTGTATAACAGATGGGAAAGTCCTGCCAGCAGGGACTCTGCTCCGATGATGTACACCCCAATAGGGCCCAGCACAGTGCCTGGCCCACACTCATTGCTGAGTAACTGCTGGTGGAGTGAATGAATAAGGTAACACATAAAGGTTTTCAAGGACTTTTCAAGCCCTCTTCACTTAACTGCATTTGTTGATTTACTATTTTTATCATACAGGTTAGGTTAGGTTATTCTGCAATAACAAACAACTTTAAAATATTAGTAGTCTAAAATGTTTTATTTCTTGCTCGTGTTATAAGCCCCTTACAGATGGACAGGGAAACTGCTCATTTTTTTTAGTCACTCAGGTCCCTGGGGACAATGGGGCAACCACTGTCTCAAATATTGGTCACAATGCTAGAGAAAAGAGTGCTCTGGAGGGTCTTACAGTGACAATTAAATCTTTCACCTATCAGGAACACAGGTCATTTCTGCTCACAATTCATTGGGCAGATGGTCACATGGCCACACCTAACTGTAAAGAGGGCCATGAAGTGCAATCCTATTATATGGCTAGAAAGCAGAAAGCTGGAAGTACTTGGTGAACAGTATTAATGACTATCACATTTGAAAAGTGGGTAATGGAGCTCAGTTTAGACAGGTAGATAAAAAGAACAGTGCACACTATTGTCCCTCTTTTTTACAGTTTTACAGGTTAGGAAACTTAGGCACTAAGAGGTTGAGTTACTTGCTTACACTAACCTGCTATTAAGCAGGGAGCTAAGATTCAAGTCTGCAGTTGTCTAAATCTAAAGCCTTTACCTATTACCTCCTAGGCACTTAAGTATTTTTGTGAAAAAACCACTGATCCTGCCTCTTCCTCATATACTTGGAGATGAAGCACCAAGTAGTTTCACCTTTATCCACAGACTTAATTTTCCTATCTCTGTATCATAGGCAGTAGGTTAGATCAGACTCTGTAAACAACCTAGGCTAGTTTAAAAGGGAGAAAAATTCTGGGTTATATACTT